TATATTATTAATAATAATTAACGACAAAATTCATTACATCCAAAGAGAGAAAACCCTGAATCATTAAAAATAACAGTGTAGCAATTAGCAACAGCATTTTTCCTATTTTATATGAATTATATGTTAAAGTACAGTTTGATAATACAGATAACAAAGAGGCGAACGATAGTATTTTAAACATTTATATAGATCATAATGAAACAAATGAACTTTCTATTTATTTATATTCTTCTATACTACCTTAGTATAGTTAGGTGTAATAGACGGAGAGTATAGAACGATAAAATGAACCCAATCATAGCTGCAAAGGTCAGTTCGGTAACTGAAATCTATTGTATATTGCTTACTAGCGACCCACCCTCGCTTCGTTCGGGTTCGTCCCTAGGTACGTTTTAAATTAAAATGGATATAGTATGTTATCCTTAAGAGATAGACATATGCCATCGTGGACTTTTCTGTAGATCTGTTGTAACACACAATTCCACCGTTCATTATTTTGTTATATCTCAAAGGGTTAAGGCATCGTTTTCGTTGAAAGCTCCCAGACGGCTTATTTTTTCCGACACCTCCAACAAATATCGTGATATTTTAGCCAATGTATACAAAAACTTAACAAATTATATACTAAAACCTTCCTCTTGAATAACTATCCATTGGTGAAAACAGCATGAAAATAGGTACAGTCGTTTTTGAATCTGTCGCCTAATGACGAACCCGAGCGAAGCGAGGATGAGTCGCTAGTTTTCCAATAAGATATTATAGGTCTTTTTAGTATATTTTAATCTCTGCGGAGCAGTGAGGCTATAGTATTTTAGATAGCTAATTTATTATACTATTTTCCACACCAACCATCGTTTGTAGGCGCTTCATTTATCTTATATTTCATTGGTCTGAATTATGTTGCCTTTTTTATAATTAAAGACAATAAATTTAATCGTTCCCCTCTTAAGAAGTAATTGAAACATTTGTGACTTATAATAATATATAAAAATCTTTGGTTAAATATTTAAATCTGTATATAGTATCTATGTATAACACATGATAATTGAACGAAGAATGCACATATATATATAGCATGCACTATGTAACCATAATTAGATATAAAAATATACATCGAATATCATTATCGTACATTATCTTAACCGCCACCACCACCACATATAAAAAACTAATTTTCTATCTACACATCAAAAATAATTATAATTAAATATTTATAATAATAAAGAATACTGTTTCTTAATATTTTTGTGGTGAAATCGTGACATGAGCCAGTGTAAGTGAATGAATTGCTTAACTTATTCCTTAAGAAATTCAATTTTATCTTTATTAGATTCACGCGAATATTTGATATTTTAAATAGATGTTTTTTTCAGATTAGTTCGTGGTCTTTATTTTAATTTTTGGTTGCCGACGTTTTGAATGCTTTACAGTATAATTATGATCACGGAACAGATTAAGAGTTCGTCTCAAAATTTATTACATACTTGTTACTCTGGTGTCTTCCCACAAATTATACATCCATTTGGAAGAAAAGAAAAATGGCCAGACCGAAGTTCCTTAGAATATTTTAAATTTTTTTATAAATATTTCTAATTGGTGTTGCTATAATTTTAAAATTTGAAATCGTACAATTTGGGTTTCTATTAATTATTATAATTTCTGTACCATTTTATTATAGTTGCTATACAAGTTGCGAAATGTTTGCATTAAAAACCAAAGTAAAACCGCGAAATGATCAGAAAAAAAACACTTATTTAAAATAAATATTCTATATAAATATAAAAATATTTCGAAATAAACGTATGATATTCATATTTTATAAAATATTAAATTAAATTTCAATTAAATGCAAATGTACAAATTATAAAGATATTATTTTATTACACTGACTCTATTAAGTTTTTCTTTTATTGTAGGAGAAATTTTGGTATTTTATGATAACATAAACGCTATTGAATGTAATGAAAAATGGGTGTTGCCATACATTTTTAGTGTGAAATATATCATCAAATATTATAGAACTTTAAACAACATCATATTATCGTAGAATATCTATAATTTGTGCATAGGAGCATATATTTTGAAACTATATCTAACGCTAACTAAAGCATGTAACGAAATAGACACGATCTACTTACATTATAGGTTATAAAACAATTGTTAGTCAGGATAATTTCTATAATTTTATGAGCTTTTTAGGCCATTTTAGTAAATAATTTGGAATACACGAACATTTTATTAAGAAAATATTACTATAGCACAAATAAACGATGACAAAAATATACCTCTCGACTCTCGTAAATCTCATTTAAAACTTATCTAATATCTTAATTTTACTAATAATTATTTATTTTTCTTTTCTTACAAAAATATAAATAATATTTTTTGTAGAATGTTTTTAGAGGCTATCCATAAATTACTTCTCACATTTAACGGGAATTATTTAAAGTGAAAATCACACAAATTTTATACCGCATTCAACATTGTAAAACATTGTATTAAGTAAATATGTAATTTAAACAAATATGCCGTGTGTTGCCATTAAAATTGCATTTTAATTACAAATCACAAATATCGGCAGCAAAGAAATTTAATTACTTTTTTAATCAAAAAGATCAGACACCGATTTCAAAATCACATTAAATGCAATTTCACCCTTAAGAGAGTAAATATTTTTGAAATTTATTTATGAGCATCCTTGATGCATAGCCAATTTAAATTTTTTTAAATACGATTCTAAATTACATTTAAATTAAAAAAAATACACTCGAATTGAGTACATCCTCATTCGGTGATGTCGGTCAAAAATTTAAAGATTAGTATCGGAATGTCTCTTCAGTGTAATATATGAAAGGAGAAATAATAAAACCGTGAGGTAATTTATGTATAATCGAAGAAAAAATAACATTTTAATTAATACTGCATAAGAACTAATTATATTCGCCGAATAATTTATTGCACATCGAAAACATACTCAGTGGGATTTTCCTTTTTAATGGCACAGATAGACTAAAAAACAGGTGGGTAAGCAACAAGTGTTTTAAAAAAATATAGTATTTCTCTTAAAATTTATATTAATTTTAGGAAGACTTGGCCTATCTTTATATATTATTTTAGTTCCTATAACTGACTTATTAAATAAAATATTTGGAATGCACGTTATTTAAATAAAACGCGAATCATTAGATTGGGGCAAAATCGATACGTATATAGAGTACATATTATGTATATAATAGCTAAGAGTAGTACTGTAAAATGGACACAAGATTTTAGTAGGAAGTTAAATATTTATTTTAGTTTTAACTATTTAGATGATTAGTAGTTTAAAATTGCGACATTATTATATATTTTAAACCATAAAAATTAAATGCATAAAATAATTATGATAGGCAAATAATATATGGCGATATTGATAAATGAAAAAAATTAATAACTATTTTATGAGTAGCTTGACAATTCTTATTTCAAAATTATCGATTGTTATAAATTGGATTTCATCATTATTTTTAAATCGATACATTATAATCGATTCCTGGAATGAACAACATTGTAACTTTATTTAAATTATCTCAATAATTAATTAAAATGTTGTACCTCGCAGGTGTCGAAATGGAAAATATTTTAAATGCCATGTCAAATTATTCACGCCTTGCGTACTACATATTTTATATTTTTCACTAGTAATGTATAAAAAATGGTGACTTATACTATTGATATCTTAGAATAGGGACAGTTCCATATAGTATGTAAAAATGAAATACATCATCGTATACAAGTTTGCATGTTTCATACAGAAGAAAATGACTTTGTTAAATTATAATTTGGATTATAATTTAATTTTAAAAATTATATTTAAATCAATCGTAAATGAAAAGATTAATAAATAAGTCGCTATTATGTTTTTGACTTATCCTTGGACGTACTAGTAAAATATTACAAAAAAAAACTTATGTGTACTTATGTACGCACGTAAGAAGTTATACTTCTTTGGCGTAACAGAACAAAAATAGCGAAATATATCATCCCGTATGTCACAACTCTCTGTTTGAAAAAGGAATGCAGCTAACTTTATCATGTCGCTTTTTGGCTGTCGATGTGCGCGGGAATCGTAAAAGTTTTACGTTCATATTTTTTTCCAACCGTGCCAAAGAAGTATAACTTTAAAAACTTGTACCCCCGGAATGAATTCACTTTTAATAAGCTTACAATATTAGAATAAATTACAAAAAAATACTTTATCAAAATAAAAATTATTTTAAATACTAAGACAGTGTTATTTTTGTGAAAGCAAATAATATTTGTATAGCTAGGACACAATCATGAGACTAGCAGAAAGATATCAACGTAATATTTTCAATTTATTTGTAAGTTGTCGACGCAATTATTTATGATTTATTGTTATTGAAATAATGTAACTTTGGTTATAATAATTGGTATTAATAATAATTCATCCGATTCCAAATTTTTGTAATAAACATCAATTAGGCCTGGTTCGAACTATGTGTCGTATTTAAATGTTAATATTTCTTAACTAAATGGAATATTTTCCAAAATAACACATTAAAGGTAGAAATCAGTGACGAAATTCTAATGAAGTTAAACATGATGCAGTTGTCATAAATGTATTGCACTATTTAGAATGAAAGAAATCGCACAGATAAAAATAAATAAAATATGATCGTAAACAAAAATATAGAAAATTAAAAATAGTCAAGGCAACAAAAAAATCAAAATAGGAATAAAAAGAAAAAAAAATTAAAAACATTTTAGTTCAATTAAAAACTAACGAATCAAAAAAATTAAATATAAATATTTAAGTAAAGCAGAATAAGACATAAATAGTACCTAGCTAAAAATGACAACGGTGGTATTCATCACTTTTTCTCAAAGCACAACTTTTTGACCCGTTTACATTTTTGAAAAATGATAATATAAAATAATAAATTATGTATAATAAAATCGGCTGTACATTGATATGTAAACCGGGTTCAAATTGTTTATACTTGCGTGGGCGGGAATCGACGTTGTGGTTTAATTCGACGTTGCGCTAGTGTTGATTGTGTGACAGGTCCTAATATGTGCGGTGTGATCGGCGCTGATGTCATTGCCTGGTAACCAAAAAAACAAATACAAAATATACCATTAGATCCATTTTTCATCTCATAAAATGAATATAAAATCTAAAAGTTTGTCAATTTGTAATAATTTGTATTAGCCTTCTCATAAAAACGTCTATTTATATTGTCAGCCATTAACTATAATTTGCACGATCATTTGAATGAATGGGAAAAAATGATTGTGTTATCTTAATTATATCATTATTAGATGTACCCTATGACAACACTATGCACTCTGTAGACAAATCTACGTTCATGCAGACGTTCTATGGCATATCCGATAAGAAGAAGACCCACAGCGTGGTTCAAACCCACATCAAATTTGGTTCAGGCGCGTCGTGCTGTAGTTTGATGGTCCATCACTATGCTCGAGCCCGATAGTCCCCTGGTAAGACTGTAGCATAGCAAGTACTATAACCATAGCATACCTAGTCAATAAGATCTACACTTCAAGTCCGCGGGCGGCTCAGGCGCATCATGCTGCACCTTAAGGGCTGACCCACACTATAATGCCGATCATAGTCCATTCTCGATTCGATATCGGTCTGGTAAATTTTTTTGACGTAATAACGTTTTATAAATTCATGAACGCCGGCTGCAAGTCCGAAGAAGTTGTTCTTGGTCTATGAGTGTCAAGCTCCACCTGAGCCGAGCGTGCAAGTGACAACGCGGAACAAATGATAGAGAGGCAACGATCGGCCTAAGCTGTTAATAGCACATTGTTACTTGTAATATTAATCTGTATAATTTAAGTAAAAAATATTTGAATTAATGAGTGCAAATAAATGTTTTAATTTATCGAAAAAATTGTAGTTTTCCATTAACTCCTTCTTTGTATTATACAAAATAATGATAATTCATTGATAATAATTCATTTCAATTAATAAAAGTCTGCAATTTTTCATCAACGTTTTCTTATGACGTTATCACGTAAAATTATCGTCCGTAAACCGACTTTACAGAAAACCAATTTTTATACAAGAAATGTTGCTGGAGTTATTCGTGCTTCTTGTATAAAAATACTTCAACAGACCGATATCGGATCAAGAGGGAATCGGCACTATAGTGTAAATCGGTCCTAATATTCCATTACTATACTCGATCCGAACAGTCCCCCGGTAGCGTACCTGGTAAGTGAGATCGACGGCGCGCCTCAAGTCCGCCGTGGGCTCGGGCGCGTCGTGCTGCACGTCGGCGGGCGCGTCCGCGTGCTCGCGGCAGATCCACGCCTCGCGCAGCAGCTCGTGCGCGCGCGGCCGCTGCGCCGGCTCCAGCTGCAGCATGCGCCGGATGCAGGAGCGCGCCTCGGGGGAGACGCTGCGCCATGTGCCGGACGACATCTCCACCTGGTGATACACGTGATACAAGTGTAAATACTTTAATCTATACTAATACTAGCGCTCGGGTTCGTCCCTAGGTACGTTTTAACGGTTAGTATAAAATACAAATCTTTGAATTTCTCGGTTATTCTGTACTATAATATGTATGTATTATACAGTTATAAACCTTCCTCTTGAATCACTCTATCCATTGAAAAAACCGCATCAAAATCCGTTGCGTAGTTTTAAAGATCTAAACATACATAGGGATAGACAGACAGCTAGAAGCAACTTTGTTTTATACTATGTAGTGATTTAATTTAATTTTTAAAGTGACTCTTCTTTAAGCCGCGTTGACATGTTAAAGTCTGTTTGGAAAGTACTTTTGATGACTACTTTGACGCAACTTTGATCATGTAAACGATCGATCAAAACACGCTTTGATGTGGACGTTAATTAAAGTGAACTTGGACCGTATTCTACTTTTCTCAAAGCCTGCTTTGACAAAGTAGTTTTGATGACTACTTGATTATCGTACAAACGAGCAATCAAAGATGTCGGCGTTCAATCAAAGTGGAGTTGGAGCTAAGTGCCTACGTAAGTGTCAACCGTTATCAAAGTGAACTTCGTTTTAAAGCTTTTTTTTATGATTTTTCTTTTCGATAACCTACAGAAGTTTCACTTCTTGCGCGTGTACACATTGATACACGCACTTTTTATAATTTTTTTAAATATTTTTTTGGTTCCCCACCTTTCCAATGCTTTACAGCGATCATGGTCACGGGAGAGACTGTCAAAATCAAATAAATCCGAAAAGATAGTATTAATTTAAAATGACTTAATGTCATTATAAGAATGTGAATTTACTATAAACTCTTTATTCTACAGAAATAGTTTAGTAAAATTAAAAATAATATAAATATTTTACCTTTCCAGATTCAATTCTGGCTAAAATGGCTTCAGGTGTATCGTCTCCCGTTGACGCGAACGGCGTTCTACCCGAAAGCATTATGTACGCCAAAACACCTATAATCATAAAAAAATAGTTTTACTAAATAACAGAATAAACGCTACTCAGTAAGCACTTAAAAAATAGATAGTATTAATAAGAAAGGTGGAAAATATTAATTGTTCTTAGTTTGGTTAACACACCCAATCTAGTATTTACAAATGTATGTATTCAGCCCTTTTCAACGTTCCCCTGCTGGGCACGGGCCTCCCTTCAATACAAGGGGGGTCAGCCATAATCCACCACGCAGGCCTATTGCGGATTGGCGGACATCACATGTCTTTTGAAAACTTGCTAGGTTCTCTCAGACATGCAGGTTTCCCCAAGATGTTTTCCTTCACCGTAAGACAAGTGGTTATCATGTCGAAAATGATTCGCACATAAAAATATCAGTGGTTCTCGCACCCGAGATTTGAACCCAGTTCATTCGATTTCCGAAGCGAGTGCGTTAACACTAAGCTTCCACTGTCCATATATCTATTCTTTATTGCACAAAAAAATATATAAGACATACAAAAAATGACAATGAAAGTGACGTGGATAAAGGTGGAATTATCTCTATATGAGATCTCTTCCAGCCAACCCATGTTTGTGGGAAATGGTGTTAAGTAGGGACATAAAGTGCAGAGAAAAAGTATGTAAGTGTAAAAACATAAATAAAACTTAAATAAACCTATACATATAATAAAATTGTACCTAAGCCGAATCTGTACATTAGATATTTTTTGGAAAACCTTATTGAACTAAACAATATTATCGATACAGAGGCCGAATCTATAGTTTTTAGAATTTTTGTGCCTGTCTTTCTGTTACCGCATCACGGTAAAACCACTGGAGGGATTTTGATGAAATTTGGTATGGTGATAGCTGGTTATTCGGCTCAACATATAGGATACTTTTTACCGCGGCAAAATATGTTATTTCTGAGGAAAATACAAAAACTGCATTTCAAGAGTATACTATAACATATAGGATACTTTTTATCTCATTTCTGAGAAAAAATACAAAAACTGCAAAGTAAGAGTATACCTATGTAAAACCTAAGAATTTGGTTTTTGGTCATCTGAACGCGGGCGGAGCCGCGGGCAATGCTAGTGTATATATAAAACATATACACATTTACCATTTATAAAACAAAAATGAACTCACCTAAACTCCATATATCGCAGGCGGCGTCGTACCCCGCGCGCTTCAGCACCTCGGGCGCTACGAAGTTGGCGGTGTAGCAGGGCGTCATCAACAACCCGTTCTCGGCCCGCAACTGTTTCGCGAGGCCGAAGTCGACCAGCCGCACGTCCGCCGCCTTACGTTCCGCTGTCGCGAACAGTATGTTCGAGGGTTTGATGTCCCTGAAAATAGAATAAGGTTTTATTTGTGACAAACACTCCTCTACGCTTCCTCTACGCAAACGCTACTTCAATTTTTTAGAAATATTGTAATTTATAATTTAACTTTACAAAAAAGGTAATGAAATAATATTAGTCGCGGTGAGTTTTTTTTTGTTTTTCGCCAGTTCTTCTCAGGTCTGAGGCTTCTTCTTTCCGAATTGGTAGTAGACTCATGACGTTCAGTAAAAAAATGTAATAATTTAATGCTGAATAAAATATTTTGAATTTGAATACCGACATAAAATACTCCGTCCCTGGATTGCTCCCATATAAAGTTTCATCCACATTTTCACTCCCTTAAGGAATGATTTCAGGGATAATAACTGTCCTATGTTCTTCCTAGGGTCTCAAACTATCTTCTTACCAAATTTCATCTAAATCAGTTCAATAGTTTCGGAGCTTATTCGGTACAAACAAACAAACACAAAATCTAATCTTTCCTCGTTATAATATTAATATAGAAGAATAAAAAATAAAAATAAAATAGACATAAATGATATTTTTACAACACGCGTGGATCGCACACAACGATCTCTAACGTTCAACACCGATTTTCAGTTACCGCCTTAGAGGGAATTCAACGAATAAAAGAGGCAGCCATAAATACAATATAAAGATAAAATATAATAACGTTAAAAAAATGATTAAACCTTATTAATATTTTTCAATTTATGTGTATGTGAAAAACATAAATACAATCTTTAAAATTGTTAAAAAGATATTTAATAACTAAAATTGTATAAATATTTGTAGAATTATTTAATGTAACTTACAAGATCTGTCAATAGATGGCGTTAGGAGTATAAATATTGGTAGAATTATTGAATGTAACTTACAAGATCTGTCAATAGATGGCGTTAGGAGTGCAATAAATCGCGCTATCGTTTGGTTCTGTTGGAAACAGTATTTTTCAAAATTTCGAAAAATTTAATGTAATTGGAAGCAATAAGTGTTGTTATTATACCCAGTGAAGTGAAACAGAAGTAGTGCAGAGTGAGATCTACAAAAATGAAAAAAAGGACTGCCTATAGAAGTGAAACTTTAAACAAACAGTTGTTATTTTTGTATATTAAAATTAATTGTTTGATCTTAAATTAAAATTTGTAAATTAAAACTGTTTACATTTATCTGGTTTTGACATCTATCGGCACTTTGCATTAACACGTCACGTGACCATGTCGATGACGACTTATATGAATTTACTCCCCATACAAACCTGCCTATAGAAGTTTTCACTTCAATTATAACCTACTTTTAATGTAATAGTATACACACCAAGAATTATGACTATTAATCAGTATTCATGAAAAACATATTATGCAAGAAGTGTCCAAGCTATATAATAATTTGAATTTATTTTGATTTACTTTAGTGTAGTTCAAATTACTCTAGTTTTTTACTTAAATTACCGGTCAAACAACAGGTTACTTTTTAGACCGGAAAAATGAACGGTTCCCGTGGGATAGATTCGTTTGTGCTTTTTTAGAGGCGAACTCGAACGAAGCGAGGGTGAGCTGCTAGTTTATGAATAAAATTTTATTGTTAACTGCTGAGATTGAATTGTAATAGTAATCGGAGAAATGTCTTTAAAAAATTAAGCATTATAATAATAATTAAAGTTTCTGTTGCAGGAACATAGATGGCGTTGAAGGATTTTAGATCGCGCTATTGAAATGTTCCAGCCAAATCATAAGTACTTTCAGCAACCAATTCTAGACAAGACTTTCCTCCAGATTTGAATTTATTAAAATTTTTGAATACAGTCAGGGTGTAAAAGTAACGAAAAATAGCGTACCCGTATGCATTCGTTACTATAGCATCAGTACTCGTTACTTTTGATACCCGATAACATACTCGTAGAGCATCGCATCGAGTCGTGTTGCGTATGTATTGCGTACCATATAACGTTGACGTCGCGTTGTTCGTACTTAGTAGAAAAACATACAGCCGAATTGACCTACGCCTTTTTGAGGAATTCAGTTGAAAATATGTTACATGACATAACATTTTCTGGAGTTAAATTTAAATTACGAATATTTACATTTTGAATTGATTCACCAGAAAGTGACATTAATTTATTATAATTATAAATTTAAAATTTAAAAAATCCCCTACCCAAATTAATTATCATTTAACAATTACACTAATAAATAATAAATAAATACACTGACACGCGTGAAGCACTTAATCAAGTAATCATACGCCAAAATGCCTTACATCATTGTGGAAAAGAGCTGATACTCTTACACTGCTGGATCGATATTAATAAATCATAGCTAAGAACCACCGGAAGAAAACTGGCTTTCAAATGAAAAAACTGAAACGAAATCGGTCCATCCGTTTAAGAGCCACGATACCACAGACACACATACACGCGCGCGCGCACACACACACACACATACATACACACACACACACATACACACACACACACACCTACACACTTATAACACCCCTCTTTTTGCGTCGGGGGTTAAAAAAATACTTATACATACGTTACATATGCGTAAGGTGCGTTTTTTAACTTTATCTTATTTTGAACCAGACTTGTCGTCTCATATATATGTAAATCTAAATTTAGTTTGATTTAATAGATAAATTGGTTAATACTACAAATAGACTGTAATTTAATTACCTCAAGGATCTGACAAAAAACTACAGAATTTGCAATGGATTTACTGTTTCGAATATTTTATCTGCGAAAACATATAATACCTATCACAATAACACTACAAATTATCATGCATTGACTAAATAAAAAGAAACAAATTAGTATCGCAAATTATTTATTGACAATAAAATTAAAACAACATTCTAACGATAAAACAACATAAAATACTTTTCTTTTTTCTTATAATGAAATTGTACATACAATAGTAAAAAATTAAACATGTAAAAGAAAAACACATTTTAAACAACACTTAAACATAAAAAAATCTTTTTTCTTCAAATGAAATTAAACATATAAAATAAAAACATATATTAAATAAAATTAAAACAACATCAAAAATCTTTTTTTTATAATGAAATAAAAACATTTTAAGGTAAGAATCTTACTCTTTATCTAAGAATCTTTGGTTCATATTTAAAAATAAAACCTTTTCCATTCGCTTTGGTTTAATGGAACTGCGCTTCTCACTCAATATTTGGCCCGACTTTGAAAAAGTTCTTTCAGATGATACCGAGGTAGCCATCACCGATAAATACTTCTCAGCCAAGTTTGAGAGTTCAGGATATAGAATTTCCCGCTTCTGCCACCACTTCAAAGGGCACTCGTTTCGATGAATAATGCGTTCTTCTAGGTATTACCTCATGGTAATTATGCTACTGCTAACTGTGGAGTTCGAAGAGGACGCTGACGTTGTCAAAGCGTCAAATTCCTTCCATAATGAGTCGTTATCAGTGTCGGTGTCGCCTGTAGATGGAGCTAGCGTGGATTCGTTCTCGTTAGGCTTGATTGATTGCTGTTTATGAAGGTTTAGCTGGTTTTGAAGCTCAGTTTTCAATGCATCTTTGGCAGACTCATAACTTGCTGCATCAAACCTAAATGCCAGCTTCTTAAAACGCGGGTCTAACAACGCTGCTTTAGATAACACTGGGTGCCTGTAACAATTCTTAAATCTAATTTAAAAATTCTTTAATTATCTTGTTTGCCAGTTTCTTGCCTATTTCAGTAATAATATTTGTGCCTAAATTGTCAAAAACCCTAATTATGCTTTCTGTGGAAGCCAAGACCATTGAAACAGTCACTTTTTTTTCTGAAGAAATTTCTTCAGTGAGCTGCTTAAATGGCTTAAGAATTTTTATTACTTCTGGCAGTGTCTGCCATTCGCCTTCCGAAAGATTTTCTACTGGATTGTGTAGAATTCCAAGAGCTGCTTCTAAAGGTTCTTGAAGTGAACAAATCCTCTCTATCATGTCTAGGGTGCTATTCCATCTCGTGACTACGTCCATTTTTAGCTTCAATGGCTTCTGATTAGGCCTCAGCTGCTCCTGCATCGCAATTAGTTTTTTGGTAGCTACTGGACTCTTGCGGAAGTGTTCCACAATGGCTTTTATTTTTTTTACCAGCTCCTCGAGTCCACAGCCCTGGAATCCTGCACGCACGACTAAATTAAGAGTGTGAGCGATACACGGCAAATGTTCGTAATTAAGTAATCGTATAGCCGCTTTCATGTTCGCTGCGTTATCTGTAACGCATACAAATATTTTATTTTGTATGCTCCAATAGGAGAGCAACCTATACAGCTCATTTTTAATATATTCGGCCGTGTGTCGCTCATGACACTCAAAACATCCTAATAAAGCTGACTTCAACTCCCAATTTAATAAATAATGGACTGTAACAGCTTGATAAGAAGTTGTTGCTCTTGAAGTCCAACCATCGGTGGTAATCGATATATATTTTGCACTCTCCAATTCTTCTTTTAACCTTCTTTGGACTTCTGAGTATTGAGTGTCCAATAAAGTATTGCTTAATATGTACCTTGAAATCATTTTGTAACCTGGTTCTAAGTATTTAAGAAGATCTTTAAAACCCATGTCTTCAACTATAGAAAAAGGTTGAAGGTCTTTAACTATCATTTTAAAAATTAAATCATTATTTTTTTTCTCTAACTACATCTACAGGACGTTTTATAAAAGTACTTAACTTAGTCTGCTTCGAATTGGTTTCATTTCTTAGAGATATCGATTTAATTACAGGATTAGTAGTTTCAGTATTTGATGAAGTTGATGGTATAGAAGCTTTCAGAACTGCTGCATCTGACACCGAGCATGGAATGATGGTTTCATAAGTTGATCTGTGTTTCTTCAGGAGATGCTTTTTCAAATTGGTAGTGGAGCCGCCTTTTATTGAATACAACGAATTACAAAGATCACATTTTGCTTTATCGTCTTTAGTCTGCGTAAAAAAACTACATAGGTTGCTTCTTTTCTTATCCATTGTAGAAAATTGAGCTGTAAATTAAAAAAATAAGTGTAAATATATCAAACTAGCATTGCCCGCGGCGCCGCCCGCGTTCAGATTACCAAAAACTAAATTCTTAGGTTTTACATATTAGTATACTCTTACAATGCAGTTTTTGTATTTTTTCTTAGAAGTGAGATATTTTTTCCCAATAAAAAGTATCCTATACGTAAACCCGGATAACCAGTCATCAACATACCAAATTTCATGAAAATCCCTCCAGTGGTTTTCCGTGATGCGGTAACAGACAGACAGACAGACAGACAGACAGACAGACAGACAGACAGACAGACAGACAGACAGACAGACAGACAGACAGACAGACAGACAGACAGACAGACAGACAGACAGACAGACAGACAGACAGACAGACAGACAGACAGACAGACAGACAGACAGACAGACAGACAGACAGACAGACAGACAGACAGACAGACAGACAGACAGACAGACAGACAGACAGACAGACAGACAGACAGACAGACAGACAGACAGACAGACAGACAGACAGACAGACAGACAGACAGACAGACAGACAGACAGACAGACAGACAGACAGACAGACAGACAGACAGACAGACAGACAGACAGACAGACAGACAGACAGACAGACAGACAGACAGACAGACAGACAGACAGACAGACAGACAGACAGACAGACAGACAGACAGACACAGACAGACAGACAGACAGACAGACAGACAGACAGACAGACAGACAGACAGACAGACAGACAGACAGACAGACAGACAGACAGACAGACAGACAGACAGACAGACAGACAGACAGACAGACAGACAGACAGACAGACAGACAGACAGAAAGACAGACAGACAGACAGACAGACAGACAGACAGACAGACAGACAGACAGACAGACAGACAGACAGACAGACAGACAGACAGACAGACAGACAGACAGACAGACAGACAGACAGACAGACAGACAGACAGACAGACAGACAGACAGACAGACAGACAGACAGACAGACAGACAGACAGACAGACAGACAGACAGACAGACAGACAGACAGACAGACAGACAGACAGACAGACAGACAGACAGACAGACAGACAGACAGACAGACAGACAGACAGACAGACAGACAGACAGACAGACAGACAGACAGACAGACAGACAGACAGACAGACAGACAGACAGACAGACAGACAGACAGACAGACAGACAGACAGACAGACAGACAGACAGACAGACAGACAGACAGACAGACAGACAGACAGACAGACAGACAGACAGACAGACAGACAGACAGACAGACAGACAGACAGACAGACAGACAGACAGACAGACAGACAGACAGACAGACAGACAGACAGACAGACAGACAGACAGACAGACAGACAGACAGACAGACAGACAGACAGACAGACAGACAGACAGACAGACAGACAGACAGACAGACAGACAGACAGACAGACAGACAGACAGACAGACAGACAGACAGACAGACAGACAGACAGACAGACAGACAGACAGACAGACAGACAGACAGACAGACAGACAGACAGACAGACAGACAGACAGACAGACAGACAGACAGACAGACAGACAGACAGACAGACAGACAGACAGACAGACAGACAGACAGACAGACAGACAGACAGACAGACAGACAGACAGACAGACAGACAGACAGACAGACAGACAGACAGACAGACAGACAGACAGACAGACAGACAGACAGACAGACAGACAGACAGACAGACAGACAGACAGACAGACAGACAGACAGACAGACAGACAGACAGACAGACAGACAGACAGACAGACAGACAGACAGACAGACAGACAGACAGACAGACAGACAGACAGACAGACAGACAGACAGACAGACAGACAGACAGACAGACAGACAGACAGACAGACAGACAGACAGACAGACAGACAGACAGACAGACAGACAGACAGACAGACAGACAGACAGACAGACAGACAGACAGACAGACAGACAGACAGACAGACAGACAAACATTTTAAAAACTATAGATTCGGTCTCTATATCGATAATAATGTCCATTTCAATAAGATTTTCCAAAAAAAAATAATGTACAGATTCGGCTTAGTTACAATTTTATTATATCGATAGATATCAACAATAAATACAGCCAATTTAGTAACCAAAAAACAATTAAATCTCATTATAACAACTTTATTATAATATCTCTTTTTAAATAAGAAAAAAGAAACGTAATTTTACCATTATTTTTAGTGAAAATAATGAACAATAAGACAATAAAACAAAAATATCTCTATTTTGTAAAAAACTTACCTTGTTTCTGTTCCAATTCCAAACTTTGTCTAACCAATTCCTTCAACTAAACTTAAAGTAATAAGTAACTAAACATTAAACAAACATCGTCCTTTGTAACGTATATTTTTGAAACCACCGAAAAAGCGCGCCGCAATCCGCAATCCGCGCGCGCGGGTTCGTAATTATTATATTATCTGTGGAATCAGATCAGCAAACCAGAAATTTTAATTATTTATAAATCTATACATTTTTTAAAAACTTTACTAACAATATTTTTTTATTAATAATTTTTTAAATTAAATAATAAATAAAAAATAAGTAATTTATATATAATGATATTATATATAAATGAATAAGTAACGCCATCTATCGCGTTAGTGTGACGCGTAATGTATATATGTTATTTTAAAATTAAAATTAATTGCGCGAACGATCTATCAAATCATAATCTGTAATTGTATTACACATAATCAGTAAAAATTATAAGTAACGGTATTAACTGAAACTTGTATATTTTTGTTGAATAAAAAATCAATAAAAACATCAGTACGAAAATATGTACGGAAAATGCGAGTAACGAAATGCATTCGTGAGTAACATTTCGGTACTCGGTACTAGATGGCGTACCCGTTACTCAGTAACGAATACATACGGTTTGCTACAGCTCTAGAATACAGTACCTATAAAAATAGACACTGTAATAGCAAAGAATAATATTATTGAAAAAGTTACATACTATTTAACAATATTTTCCCATGGCTCCTCTTTACTACCCGACTTCGCCAAAAGGAGGGTTATGACTTAAGTTTTTCGAGTGTATGTATGTATATTTCTTTCGCACGCTCTGTAGCTTGAACGGCTTAATTTAAGAATGATAACCATGCCAACGTTTTTTTTTATTGTGCAATAGGCTTGCGCTAGACTTCAATCAGCGCTGGGAAGCACTGATGAGGTCTAGGTTGGAGCGCGCTTGCCTAGAAAATGCCTATTCACTCTTGCCTTGAAGGTACTTAAATTATAGGTGGCAGGAAACACGGATGCTGGAAGGGTGTTTCACACCTTAGCAGTTCGTTTCAGAAACGTAAAACTAAAGCGTTTCGTGTGAGTTGGTTGTATCTCTACCACATAAGGATGCCAACACGTGTCGGTCTCGTGTATATTACCTGTGCACAACGGTGTGCCGATGCAGATAGTGCACGGCATGCAGCACGTTGCGCAGCAGCGGCGCCGCCTCGCGCTCGGGCAGTGCGCGCCGCCGCGTGATGTGCTCCAGCAGCTCGCCGCCGCGGCACAGCTCCGTCACGGCCAGAATGCGACCGCCCTCCGCGTACACACCGCGCAGCGTGATTATGTGAGGGTGCTGGCTGTATCTGGGTATGTTATGTTATACTTTACACGCTATACATTTATTTATTCATTTTTTTGATAAAAATGAATCATTTTGCCAGTGGCTCCTCTCTCGTTGTAAGTACCTCGATAAAAGTCCTGTTTAACCACTACATAAGCTATAATATTTTCTTATATATACACGGATATGACATTATAAATAAAACTATCTTTTCTGATTTTTTCGTGGATTTACTTAAACTTTTGGTTCTCGACGTTTCGAATGCTGTACAGTAATCAGGCTTGGGTTTTAGACGTCTGAAAAGTTTTTATATAGTTGTAACAGACAGTGGCTACCCACAAAATTACACAATGATTTTCAATAATACAAAAAATGGCATAAGTTACAATATTTGATTGATTTTAATTTTAAACAACTTATAATTTAAATAAGTTTTATAGTTCAATATTAAATATTATTTATTTAATTTTAATTGTTGCGATTATACTCTGTACAATGATAAAAAATATATAGTATGGGTAAGTGCTGCCTGTATCAATTATATAAGAACCTTTGAGACGTCTAAAACCTAAGTCTCTCCCGTGACCGACCATAATTGCTGTAAAGCAATTGAAACGTCGGGAACAAAAATTCAAAATATGTATATCCGAATTAAATTTAACACTATATAATAATTCATTTCTGGATTCGTTCAAACTCTCAGGAATATCAACGTTACCTCTACTAAATAATTAGAACAAATACTTTCTAGCCATGTATGAAATGTTCATAGGTTTATTATTTAAAAGCTATTTTATAAAATCGAGGTAAAAATCAACAAAATCTTGTATGCGTACATGTAAGCCTCGGCTAATAACAATATAAAGCAAAAATATGTATTTTCTACTTTAGCAATAAAAAATATAAAACAATGACCCATTAACTATTGTCATCTATTAGTTATTATATACTCAAGTGAGTAGATCCTTGAATATAATATGATAACCAATGTGAGCTAAATAAAAAAAAACAATCATTATATCTTATACTAAATTCCAAATTATGAGATGCCTAAAAAAAAATAATAAAAAAAAAGATATTTAAATAAAATACCTTAATAAAATTTCAATTTCTTCCCTGGGATCATATTGTAATTTATCCATAATTTTAACTGCGTATTGAGTGCGACTCGTCTTGTGCTCGCAAAGACGCACTACTGAGAACGATCCAGTACCTAATTCACCCATTAATCTGTAAAACAATATAATAAATGCAGTATATGTGTGTATGAGTATCTATTACTCCTTCGCGCTGAAACAACTGGACGGATTTGGGTGAAATTTACTATACAGACAGTATATGATCTGGAATAGAACATAAGGTATAAAAACACACGTAGAGACGCATCTAAACAAAGAGACTAATGCCCGATTTCACCAACATCCCTTAAAGCTACCACCTACATACATATGGGATCCCTAGCTTAAAAGTTCCCCTAAACTAGCCCCTAAATTAAATTTCGTTTTACCATCGTCAGAGTCCGTATTTCTAGTACCTATATTTAGGTGGCATTTTAACATTTAGGTGACCCCGTAACTGTCGGTGACACAGAAACTGTCCCCTAGCAGCCCCCTAATCATGCTTAGGGGATCCCTAAACTTAGGTGACGTTGGTGAAATCGGTCATAAGTCAGTTAAATATATTTTAGTACTGAAGTTAAGTAGCATATATAAAATACATCTTAATGGCATAATGATGGTTTTTTTTAAAGTAAAATGTGTATTCAAGATCAATAGAATTAACATTTCAAAGTCAATAATTCCATATTAAAAACTGTTTCGGTAAATTGGACGTTTGGAGTTTGGACAAATAAGCACTGAGAAAATGATATAACGATAAGATTTTTACGAACATAAATAGATATAAAATTAAAGAAATAGTGAAGCAGATTGTGGATTCCATTCCCATATAGTGCAAATATTGGTATTGTATTATATTTATCAAAACATATTAAATATTAATTTGAAAAAGTAATAGGTACCTGTATTCATCAAAGAAATTATTCCTATTGACGAATCCCGCCCAAAACTCCTCAGTCGATGTTTTTGTTTGTGTGGCGTTATTTTGGTTTTGATTTGTGACTGTTTTATTGTCGTCCTCGTTCAAAAGACAAGGCGCCACAAAACTGAAACCTCTGAAAAAATAAACGCCTTATTACAATATATATTATTATTATTATGACTTCTACATTTTAGTCATTTTTCTTGATAGATTGGTTTTGGTCATCATTATGGTGTTCACCCACTTAACAATATCTTTCTCATACATTCATGCAGTGTGACGTTATTATCGCAATATCAAGCCTATCTGATTATGGACTATGGAGCATATAGGTGATATAGTATAGTAAAACTTTTAAATAGACATCAGAAAAACTACTACTATTTTGTTTCTTTTTAATGACTATCATACACTTTGGCCGGTTATTATATTTTTAATTTTCGAAAACTACAAAAACTTAATTAACACCTCTAGGTAAATTTCTAAGAAATTAATTAAAATTCTAAGAAATCTATTGTTAACTGTAACGCCTGCGTGTCCGCGGTCGTGGAGGGATTAATTAAATTCTTTATTATATTTAAATTAAGAAACAAATACCTAAACAATTCATGTGCATTAGCAGACGCGGGCACGCCGGGGGAGTCCCGCGGGGTGCGACATGTAAACTCCGAGTCGAAGTAGAACGCGTCGTCAGCGCGAGACACTGCCGGCCTGAATGGAGGGATCACCTGTAAATATTATAATTAATCTTTACTATAAACAGCTAAATAAAATTGAAGTGTCTGTATGTAATGTCAAATTAACAGCGTTTTACTAAATGCTCTTGAAATTATATACGGTACTTATAAGAAAAACACAATTTTGAAATTTTTGTCAGTCTGTCTGTTCCGGATAATCTCTGAAACGGCTGGGCTGATTTTGACGAGACTTTCTCTAGAAGATACCTGATGTTATAGGGAGTAATATAGGCTACTTTTGCTTTAGAAAAAGAATTAAGGTTCCATTCAAAAAAATTAAAACGTGACTAGGGACGAACCCAGGCGCTAAGAGTGAGTCGCTAATTTATTATATTTACGCAAATATTTGACATTTTAAATGAAACTATCTTTCCCGATTTTTTCTAGTTTTTTTTAATTCCCGTTGTTTCGAATGCTTTACAGCAATCATGGTCACGGGAGAGTCTGAATATAGATTTACAATTGTAGATGATATTTCAGTGCATTTTTATTTGAAGCCAGTCAAAAATATTATTAATCACACACATAATACAAATAATAATAAAACTGGTTTCTCACTTTAAAATATAGCTTCATATCTCGAAATATAAATTATATACTGCAATGAATACATTGTACAATAAGAGCAAAAAGTATGAAATACCTAAAGCATATCGAAAATATAATACATATAACTAGCGACTAACGTTTTAACATTTAGTATAGATTTCTCAGAGATGAGATATTTTCCCACAGTAAATAGTATCCTATATGTTGACCCGGATAACCAGCTATCATCATACAAAATTCATCAAAATCTGGCCTGTGCTTTTCTCGTGATGCGTTCCCAGACATACAGACAGATAAAAATTAATAAAATAGATTCGGCCTCTGTATGACTATTTTGATAAGATTTTCCAAAAAATATTTCATGTACGGATTCGACTTAATTAGAATTGTATTATATGTATAGTTGTTCATAATATTATAACTTACTCTGCACTTATACCTTTAGACTTTATGCACCAAAGTTGCATGGATAGAGAGTATCCAGAAATAAATCAAAACATTTGTCTATACAAAAAACTTAGGTAATTAATAACTCAATGTTAAATTAATTAACTATGGTCAGAAAGACATAATAATGTTATTGGTAATAAATGACTCTGAGAAGATTTATATTTTTACTTAAACACTTAAATCAATAATAAAGACAAATCAATTACCTCTTTCCTCAACAATGCATCCCAGTCTATGCTTGCAAAGAACTCATGATTTTTTATATCTTCTATGCCATTTGGACCAGCACCTAATCTGTACAAATGTGTTTAGATATTACACTACTATTCAAATATGTTTAATTCTTTTAATTAATTTATTTTTGTACATATTAATATTAGAAAATATAAAAATAAAATTGCTATTTGGTCTATCATCTATATTTACATTACGCGGATGATACGCGGCTGATACGCGGATTATACGCGGGTGATACGCAGTAGGTACGGTCACTGATACCGTTATGTACGGGTATGATACGCTGTTAATACGTTCTAGTGGGCATAATAGTCCGTGTCGCTTGTTTCCGTGCCTGATGCGTTCATAGCATGGTCATGGTATGAGACGGTGTAGTGGGTAGATACCTTAATGAGTGGAATATCACCCTCATTCTCCTCAACTGCATTAACTCAATTTGCTGATTGAGTTTTTTGAGCTGATTGAGAAACTTCAGTTTGCTGATCAACAATTTGAAGAGTTGCAAATTAAATATTTTCACTTATATTTATCAAAGATAATTAATTATCAAACCATATTTATCATGATAACTATCGTTTCGAACCCTGCTTTAAATACTACATATTTATTATAAATATAAACATGCATGACTGGAGTACAAACATTTATGCTCATCACAAATAAATACCCCCAACAGGACTTGAACTCGCAACCGCTGGCACAGCAAGTAGGGTCACTACAAACTGAGCCAAATATGTCGTCGTAAATTAAAAAACATAAAGATACTTCTGTTAATTAAAAATTGTCACAACACTTATTTATTAAATACATTCTAATGTATTATTTAAAATTTATAAATACCTATTGTGTGGATTCCGTTTAAATAATGCACGCAAAAGTGATTGTGCTTCTTCACTTAAATTAGAAGGCATTCCAAGCTTTGCTTTGAGAATTTGTGTCATAGTTTCATGTCTTGTAGACCCATGAAATGGTAGATTTCCCGTTAACATTTCAAACTAAAAATATTAATAAAATATATATAATACTAATTGCTTTTTAAAGTTTTAATTACACTATATACATAATATGGATATATGAATCGTAATACTTCTAGGTCATGTTATATAATTTTTAAAAGTTGAGAATAACTGAGGATTTTGCATTAGATACTATGATGTTCTCCTGACCGATTCCGGCCACGGCGGCCAATCTCATTGAGACTAGCCAACTGTGCAGGAGATATTATAATACACAAGTGTTCGCGCAGACACAACGTGCACTCTCTATTCCCGTCACTCTCATACTCTGGTGGGACGACTGCTCGACACGACCAGTGAGAGTTAAGACGCAGGAACGACCGCTTTACGTGCTCTCCGAGGCACGGGGGTGAAACACCGTCAACTTCCCAACTCTGGGCTGTTACTGAGGCTTAATATACAGAAAGACTCAATAACTAAACTTGGCCGAACCCGGGACTCGAACCCAGGACCTCCGGGCATGCAGCCGTACATGCTAGCCACAACACCATCGAGGCATATAGATACTATATGAAGGGTACAAGTAAAGAACAGGCAATGTCACAATTTTAGTTTTTTTGTTTTGTAATGGTAACAAGTCTATGTCTATGGTAATTGTATTCCCAACTAGTAGTTTTTAAAAGTACTTAATGGTTGTAGCAAAGAATACCTTTTAATCTATGCCCAAAGCAAAGAAAACGGGGAATATCCACAACATACTGTTAAAGGAGGATTGTCCAAAAATATATATTGTAAAAAGTTACTGCACCAAAGATCTCAACAAAAATATTATGACTTCTAAGCTTTAAATTGCTTATTTCTCATAATCTAATCATTAGGACATTCCATGTTCTTTGCCTGTCACCTTCATATAGAAAAAATAAAAAATTAAAGTTAAGATGGAGAGCATAAATTACCATAAGAACTCCGAATGACCACCAATCAGCAGCCATCGTATGTCCTTTTCTATTAACAACTTCTGGTGCCATATATTCAACTGTACCACAAAAACTGTATGCTTTATCAGTCGGAGGTAGTTTAGAAAGACCAAAATCTGTAAGGGCTATGTGTCCATCTGCATCTAACAAAATGTTCTCTGGCTTTAGATCCCTGTATATTATTCCCAATTTATGCACATGTTCTAATGCCAAGGCTAATTCTGCTAAATAAAACTTAACATCTTCTTCTGTAAACATAACCTGGAAAAATTTAAATATTGCTGTGTAATGTTTCATAATCTATAAAGATAAATAAAATTGAAGTGTCTCTTTGTAATATCAAAATAACAGCTTTTTACTAAATGCATATGAAATTATAAATGGTACTTATAAGAAAAACACAATTTTTGAAATTTTTGTCTGTCTGTCCATCTATCTGTTTCTTCCGGCTCATGTCTGAAACCGCTGAACTGATTTTGACGGGACTTTTAATGGCCGATAGCCGAGGTTATAAGGAGTAGCTTAGCCTATTTTAATTTTAGAAAAAGAAGGGTATTTTAGGATTCTGCTCAAAAAAATTAAATTGTATCTAGGGATGCACCCGAGCGAAGCGAAGGTAAATTGCTAGTTATCCACAACTACTACTCATATTTATATTGTTACATAAATATATCAATAATAATAGTAGGGGAGCCGAAGAGGGGATTTTCTGTAGTTACTCGAGCGCGGCAGATTAACATAAAAGAGGTTACCTTGCACTCTATTGAGTACTTTCACCATAATATAAGTCTTCTATATAAAGGGGCGCGTCTAGGGAAGCCGATTAAAATATTTAAAAAATGTTTTGATAAGGTAGAAATACTTGAAACCGTCAGATTAAAGTGTGGTAGGCTAGTCACATCCTGAAAAGTGTCCAATTCAATAATCTGCCGATTTGCACAAGCCGAAGAGGCAAAAATCGACTATAAAGTTTATGATGATTTTTGCCTCTTAGGCTTGTGCAAATCGGCAGATTATTAAATTGGACACTTTTCAGGATGTGACTAGCCTACCACACCTTAATCTGACGGTTTCAAGTATTTCTACCTCATCAAAACATTTTTTAAATATTTTAATCGGCTTCCCTAGACGCGCCCCTTTATATAGAAGACTTATATTGTGGTGAAAGTACTCAATAGAGTGCAAGGTAACCTCTTTTATGTTAATCTGCCGCGCTCGAGTAACTACAGAAAATCCCCTCTTCGGCTCCCCTACTATAAAGCATTATATGTATTTACCTCTTTACTGAGTCTGGAAAACAAATCACCACCTCTTAAGAAATCTAATATTAAATACAATTTGCCTGCAGTTTGAAATGCATAATGAAGTTTAACTATAAACGGATGACCCATTTCTACTAAAATATTTCTTTCCATTTTTGTGCGCTCTCTGTCTCTAACCTTCAGTGTTGCCTTTTTTAGAACCTGTATATAAAAAATATATAAAAAATCATTCATAGTCAATGTGAAGTTTAACATAATATTATTAATATTAAAAAATCATAGTAATCTATAACAATAATTGCTTTATATTTGAGTTTCACATGTGTGCTTTATCAAAATATATGAGTCATGATACAGGGAAAATAAGTTTAATATCAAAACAATAAAGCTAAGTGGGTTTAATTAAAGTACACAATAAAAAAAAATGATAAAATAACTTCCCTGTTTCTTTTTTATATTTCCTTTATGACTACAAATTATATAACTTTTTATAAAATAAAATTTTAACAATAAACACAATACACCCATATGAACTTCTTAAATATCTAATAAAACTTTTAAAATGTTTTCTACATATAACTTACCTTCATAGCATAAAGAGTACCAGTATCTGGACCAGTGACTTTTCGTACTAAGAAAACTTTTCCAAAGGAACCTTCACCAAGAACTTTGAGTAATTCAAATTGAGAAGGATCTGCCTTCTCATGACCTTCTTTGACAACATCTTGTAATTCAACTTCCCTTTCATAATTTTGATCTACATTTGAGGCATTCGATTCACTACTTTCAGTTGTGGAAGTCTGTCGAGACTCTGCTAGATTTTCAACAACCATTGGAAGACTGTTGACAGTCTGGGATGTAATTCCACGCTAAAAGTATTCAAAATAAGTATTACAGAATACTGTAGAAAAGTAATATGTCAGTAAACATGAAACTTTAGTATTAATATGGTAAAATAAATTTTATAAAGGGAAGAGATGAAGAAAATTTGAACAGTTTTTTAAACCATATGTTTATAAAACAACAAATGATATTTAACTTAATTAGGTATTTAACTAAGTTGCAAAGACCGACTTCTTAACTAAATAACGTGTATTTTGATTATAATAGTAATTATTGTCAGTAAATATCTTGGTTTTAATGGATTAAATTATTACAAATGGGCGTCTAAACAAAACTGATAATACCAGCTATAATGCTGTCACTGTAAATGTGCTCGTAGTAAAACGTCATCTCTTTGCATTACAAATAAAAATTAGTAATCTAATAGGAAAATACGTATTCAACAAATAAGCAAACAGTATTAAAAAATCATAACATACTGTGACATCTCCAACACTCTGCATTCGCCAGGGATCGGTGGCATTGGCCAAAGGCATCGTTTCTAGCTTCCAGGTATACACATCCAGCAGAAATATTCAACAAATTTTATAAAAATTGTAAATTTAATTAAAAACTAATACTAAACACTCGTTTTTCATTCATTAAAATAGGCAGGGAGAAGGGAGGTAGTGTCATAGACGGCAACAAAAAACAGATTATTAAAAACAAGCGTTGCCAATACCATTTTATCAAATTCCCTGAAAATCCAAGTCAAATTCCCCAATTTGGAGACAAAAAAGTATTTGTTCTCCACAAACTCGCCTCAAAATTATTTTTAATGAAACAATTTTCTACTATTATATTATATATTAATAAAATGTTTGAAGTGAAACATGATAACATCTATTTGCGCGCCTTGCGCAGTAAAACAGACTCGTGGTGTTACGGCAAACGGTGGCGTGACGATGTCATGCTATCATCGCTCTACGCAGTATACTCACAGACCAGGAACAAAAAGGCTCTATAGTTATACGATTACGCCCTACTCCTGGCTTCTACGCCACCACTCTCAACTGCCTAAGGTTATCACTTGTGTCTGCGCGCGTATTTGCTAAACGATCATGCATGCATGCATTGTTAAACAATCTCTATTAAAATTACTTAGATATTTTTTATTCTATTTATGAATATATTTAAATATTCTATAATTATCATTATAATTAAAATAATAAGAAAAATAAATTGATTTCATTAACAAAACTATTTTTAAAGTGAAAAATTCTACAGGCAGGTTTGGATAGGGAGTAAATTCATATAAGTCGTCAACGACATGGTCACGTGACATGTTAACGCTAACACTCAGAGTAGGTACTAACTGTTCTGTGGTGCTGACGCACTCTGATGCACGCTGATAGATATCAAAACAAAACCAGATAAATGTAAACAGTTTTAATTTACAAATTTTAATTTAAGATCTAACAATTAATTTGAATATCCAAAAATAACAACTATTTGTTTATACCTAGCTTTATATTTTCACTTCTGTCGGCAGTCCTCATGACTGCTTTTTTTTCTTTATTTTACTCCATATTTTGTAATAAGTTTTTATGAATTATGAACTTTAAATATTAACATAGATGTTTCACATCTGCCGGGCCTCCCGTGGCCAACTATTTTTTTGTTTACCTTTCATATTATTTTTTTAATACTTTTTCCAAATTTTTGCTCCAAGCATTTTGCGCGATGGGTTAAACTTAATACTGTCGCCCAGTAATTTATACATATACTACAGTATCTTTATAAAGACGATTGCGGGTCTCTGTTTTTAAGTCTTTAAGGGCACTAAATTTTATAAAATAAATGTAAAAGTGTTATAAGATATACAAAAATATTTTACTATTGGTGGCAGAATAAAGATACCGAAATAAAGCGCAAAATTAAATGTGGTGCAATGAAGATTATATAATATGGAGAATCATTTCAATATCCATATGGATTACTTTACAAAAAATTTTGGTTACTTATGTAACCAATTTTTTTTGTTAAAATGAGTATTTGGAGTTCTTGAAGAAGTGTCCCGATCCGGTCCGGACTATCGATATTCAAAATCCCCGCATTTTCCCCGCATAAATAATGCCAATCCCCAATAAATCCCCAATCAACTTGAGATTCCCCACAGTTTGGGGAATTCCCCACAATTTGGCTACGCTGTTTGAAACAGACTAAAAACAATTTACCGTAAATTATTTACGTCGAATGTTTGTACTTTTGTAGTCTCATTATCAAACAGTTTCAAGAGGAGTTGCATAACAAATTAGCGATAAGTTATATAAATGTTTATAATGTGTATATTAGTCATTAATGTTATATAAGATAATATTTATATATATTTATCATGTCAAGAACATAATACCATATCTATAATGAAATAATTTCTGCCACTTTACTACGTTTTGCAATTTTTTAATATAGTATTTAAAAAATATTTTTAGAATATCTTCTATTAATTTAATTTGGTCTATCACAACACATTAAATGAATCTAGATACACCTTATGATTTATATAAAAATAACAAAAAAAATTACTAAAATGTATCCTCAACGCTCCGTACTCTATGAAACTTTAATCTATTATCATGTTATTAACGTCAACTTCCATTACATAAATAAATAATGTCCAAGTTTAAAATTGAAACTCATTCAAACTATCTAAACTATACGTTTTTAAAAATGTATACAGGTCAGTACAAAAAAATATATAATAATATTACCTTGAGCCCTACTCATATAGCTATTGAATATTTTAAAAGAAATTATAGGTATTTACATTACATATAGTAGGCAAAGTAATCTGTACTCACCTCTGCACCTGGCACGTTTTGAACGTTTGAAGCCATTAACAAGAGAATTGAATAATTAATATTGTAACAGAATTTACTTAATGTGACCACTATTTTTAGGGACAAAATTGAGAGGAGCAGATTGTAATATGGATGAATTATCATCAAGAGTTTTAGGGGAATTCGGAAAATGGCAATTTTGGATAGGTATTTATATGGCATTGCTAAAGCTACCTCTGGCTTGGTATCAATTAAATATTATTTTTATGGCACCACCTCAAGAATTTTGGTGCGCAAAACCCGACTTTTTAACGAAATATACTGAAGTAGAATGGAGACAAGCATGCGTACCTGTAAGCCATTGCCTTATTATTATTGTATAACATAGATGTATAATATTTATATAACATCCCGGATTTGGGACATTGGCGGTCTGACATTTACGTGCTCCGGAGTCCGGAGAGCACTTGTACGTATCTGTACCTTATCTCTCACCGATCGGGTCAAAGGTATTCTCACAGTACTTTGAGAGTATATCTTTGATCTTTAAGAGTAGTTTTGACTGATATATCGCAGTGCGGACAGGGCCTTACTGCACATGCACATAATAACATATCTCCTGCGCAACTGGTCTATAGTCTACTCTGCCTAGGCTAGTCTCAGAGAAATCGGCAGGAGAATATTATTATTATTATTTATTTGTAGAAAAATCAAGAACATCCCTGTTTAATTTTCGATCCTGACATACTTTTCTTAGAACCAGATATGGATAAAGCGCTAATACCTTTAGTTCAATGTCCAAGATTTGTTTACGACACAAGTACCTTTAGCCGAACTATAACGTCCGATTGGGACCTAGTATGCTCTAGACATTGGCTCGTTCATGTATGCTATTTCTTGTTATAATAGTTAATATAATACTAGTATATGTTTCTCACATTTAACAATTCGTTTGTTAATTCTATTAAAAGTAAATCTTATATAGAATTTTGTAAGGAGTTTCTTTCAGCTTACGCAATGTATTATGATGTGGGGTGTCCTATTTGGCGGTATAATATTTGGAGTTATGGCCGATAAATATGGTCGAAAAACCCCATTGATGATTGCAATTACTTTGCAGTGTGTCATGAGCTTTATCGCAAGTGTATTGCCATCATATTTGTTATTTTTAGTATTTTGGTGTATTCTAGCTATCGCTTCTGGTGGTATAGGAATTATATCATTTGTAATAAGTATGGAGGTAAATTTATTGAACTTTATTTTTTATTTTATCAAAAATTACATATTTAAAACACTTCTGGCAACAAAAAATAAAATATGAAAACCTCTAAATGTAGTTTGTTTCTAATCTAGTAGGTATAAGGTAATCCTTACTTTATTTCCTGCTATTCTATTTCTATTTATAGATTGTAAGTGGCAAGTGGAGGACAATAATACCAATTGTATATCAATTACCTTTTGGCCTCGGAAATACTGTGATGGCTATCTTAGCCTATTGGTTTCGAGATTGGAGAAAGTTAGAATTTTCTTTAGCAACTTTATCTTCGCTTTATTTTCTATATTGGTTTGTTTTACCAGAATCTCCAAGATGGCTATTGGCTACTGGACAAAATGAAAAAGCATTAAGTAACTACACACAATTAATATTCAGTATTTTTTCTTATTTAATTATTTACATATTTGATACATCTCTTTCAAATCCTTTTAGAAGTTATAGAAAAGGCGGCTAAACAGAATAATAGAGAAAAACAGTTCCAAGATGTCTTACAAACTTTAACTATTTGCAAAACTCGTAAACGTATCGACCCAGGATTTATATCATTTATAAAATCTAGTAGCATGAGACTTAGAACGTTTCTACTATCGATAAATTGGTATTTTTTGATTTATTTTATGTGTACCTATTTGGATACGTGAAATTTGAATTTAACGAACTATTTATTTTAGGTTTTGTACTGGCTTATCATTTTATACATTTTCGCAATATCTTGGTTTAATTGGAAACATCTTTCTTACTGTCGCAGTGAGTGGAGTTATTTCTGTAACTGGAGGAATTTTGTGTCTGTTTATTGTTACTAAAACTGGACGAAAGACTACTGTCGGGATATTTCAAATAATAACAGCATTCTGTTTTGTTTTCATTTTAAGTATACCAAAAAACGTTTACCCAAGTGATTGGCCAAGATTGCTTTTTGCTGGAATAGGATTCGCTGGATTAGCGGTTGGTGTGATTTTTATTATTTACGTGATATTTATTATTTTACCGTCCCGATGCCGACCACTGGTGGATCATATTAAAAATGATTCGCACATGGAAATAACAGAGATCCGACTTCGAGATCCGGATTAAATCCGGGTTTAAAACCCGTTTCACTTGAACATTTAAGTGAGCGTGTTACCAATTGGCTATTACTGCTATGCTATAAAATATGATTAATATCATATTTTTAGAGAACTGCCAGGATAAGTAAAACTACAGAAATCCAGTAGGTATCTTACGTATAGGTAGGTATATACTCTACATAATATCTTAAAATTGTCATGAGAGCTCTACAAACGAGCTATAAACGTTATTAAATGATTGATTCCCATACAAACATTTATCCCTATTTCCACCCCCTTAAGGGATGATTTCCGGGATAAAAAGTATCCTATATCCTTCCTAGGGTCTCAAACTATCTTCTTACCAAATTTCATCTAAATCGGTTCAGTAGATCCAGAGATTACCCCCTACAACATCACAAACTTACAATTCACAAACTTTACCTCTTTATAATATTAGTATAGATGACGAATAAAAAACTAAAATCCGACCCGTTTATTAGTAGCCTTAAATATCAGGCTCTAAAATCCAAGTCTAACGTGTTGGGCTTTGGTCAAATCCAAGCGAATGAATACAAACTTAAAGTATTTACTAGTAGCCGTTGAAGAGTTGAAGGTGGATAATACCTTCTGCCTCACCATCAGGTCGTCTAGATGATACTAAACCACTGTATTATCATCGGAAATACAAACACTTGTAAAGTTTCAAGTTGATATGACAATTAGAAGTAGGTAACAAGATTAATTACTTCTTAACATACTTCAAATTCCATGTTTTATTTTGATTTTCTCGAAAACGGTATATTTTATGTCAAAATATTATGGGAACACCTCGGGACCTACTAATGAAATAAAATTTAAAATAGCCATATCGGCCAGGCCGCCTCTGAAAAATCGGTGCGCATACGTACAAAAATACATATAGAGGAATCTCCTCCTTTTTGGAAGTCAGTTAAAAAGCTCAAAAGATATTAGGGTAGGGTAAACATTTTTTTATAATTTACTATAATTATAATATCAAAATCAACAGGGGACTGTACCAGCATTATATTTGTTTTCTGGAGAACTTTTCCCAACCTTGGGTCGTAATGCTGGTATCGCTGGAGTGACTACATTTGCTCGCATTGCGTCTATGATAGCGCCTATACTTGTGAGCTTAGATGAAATACAACCGGATCTACCCCTTGTCCTTCTAGCTGTAATATCCTTTTCTCAACTGGGCTTACTTCTGCCCTTACCTGAAACGAAGGACAAACCCTTACCAGACACATTAGAACAAGCCTAACTGTTTAATGAAAGATATAAATGAGCTTTTAGTTTACATAAGTCATTTTTACTTTTAAGACCATTCCCTTTACGTTTATGATGGTTTGGTAATTATGGTTGAATTTTATTACATTACGGATGCATTGTTTTTTAACAGACTTAAAAAAAAGAGGTTAACAATTCCACACATATGTATGTAATATTGGAACTGCAAAATATTCACATTGCATGCATTTTTCGAAACTAGTAGGTAATTATCGGATCGTGATCATTCTTTTTTTATTACATATACATAATCAGATATTCTCGAAGTCGATGCCAACCGACAATGCTTTAAAGTTTAAGATATAAATATCTAACAGGTAAATGTGACAAACTGCCTCGGTGGTCTAGTGGCTAGCATGTACGGCTGCACACCCGGAGGTCCTAGGTTCGAGTCCCGGGTCGGTCTAAGTTGAGTTACTCAGTCTTTCTGTATAGTAAGCCTCAGTAATAGCCCGGAGTTGGGAAGTTGGCGGTGTTTCACCCCCGTGCCTCGGAGAGCATGTAAAGCCATCGGTCCTGCGCCTTAACTCTCACTGGTCATGTCGAGCAGTCGTCCCACCGGAGTTTGCGAGTGACAGGAATAGAGAGTGCTCTTGTGTCTGCGCGTACACTTGAGCACTATATCTCCTGCGCAGTTGGCTAGTCTCAATGAGATTGGCCGCCGTGGCTGGAATCAGTCAGGAGAACATCATGACAAGGTATCAACTCTTAACTATAGATAAAATATTATAGGTAGGTAAATACATCAATTAGTGATGAATTTATACGTGCCTATCGAAATAGATTTGCTTTGTTTTGCATTGGCTAGCACCGACCTCGAAAATATCTGATTAAGTATCTATACTATAGTAAATAAAAACCCCCGTTCAGTCAGGGCACGGTAATGTAGTGCATACAGTATTGCAATTTGCAACTCGGGCCTGTCCTTGTAATAATTACCTACAGCCGAGCGGTATACATAATTCAGTGTTATGAAAAAATAAGCAGTAAATCCCAAGTATAAACATTTATTTATTTTAAAAACACAACTGTGACTGACAACAGGAAACTTATTTCAGTAATTTGTAATGGAAGAAAAAATAAAAAATAAATTCAAGACATTTTATGAAATGCTTAAACCGCGTTGACACGCTCAGAGCTTGCTTTGACAAAATAGCTCAGATCAAAGTTTACTTGGATACCTGTTGACACGCTCATTGTATGCTTTGACAAAAAGCTTTAAAACAAAGTTTATTATGATAAACACATCTCCAAGTCCACTTTGATTGAACGCCGACCTCAAAGTGCGCTTTGATTGGTCGTTTACACTATCAAAGTAGTCATCAAAACTACTTTGACAAAGCAGACTTTGGGAAAAGTAGAACAAGGTCAAAGTCCACTTTGATTAACGTCCACATCAATGTGCAATTTGACTGCTCATTTACATTGTTTCGTTTACATAGTTTACACTTTGATCGTGTCAAAGTGGCTTTATCTGATCTATAAATAGTTTTGGTATGTTTATTTTTAAATGCATTAAAATAAATATTAGTACATATTACAAAATATACACTTACCCTAGAAAATGATTACTTTAGGATTATTTTTTTATAGATATTAATTTCAAATAGTTTTGTGCACTGTTATCAAGAATCAAGACCAAATGAATGCTCATTAATCATAAAACAAGTTTTAAAGTTTATAATATAAAATTACATTTATCATGACTGTATATACTATGGTCTTGGTCCCCTTGATCTAAATGCAAATAAAATAAATGCATATAGAAGACAGCATTTAATGCACTATAAAAATAGTTTAATGTTAATTGTACTGTTTAAAATTGAAATATACTATGTAGTATAATTAATCAACTTTATTATTGGTGATTTGTGTTTTAATATTTTCAATTCTATGTAACAAAGTAGGGTGGGAATGATACCAAGCAGAATACAATTTGTCATAAATAGGATAGTCTAAGTTATCTTTACCTAATTTAATTAGAGCTGATTTAAGTTCCATTGGATAATTCAAAGAAACTGCAAAATTATCAGCTTCAAACTCAAATTTCCGGGATAAAGCAGTTGTAAAATATGATAAGAGTGAGTTATATGGTGCTAATATGAGCTGCATTACAACTATTAAGCCTATTATCACAGGTTCCTGCCCTGCTGGGAATCCTAAAGATGTGTATAGCATAGAATATTTAAAAAGTAGACCAAAGGCAGTAAAAAGAAGTAATAGATTTACTTCAGTAAGAACAATAGATTTATAAATGTGACTACAGCTCCAGTGGCCTAATTCATGAGCTAAAACACCCAAAATTTCATTATTTGTGCACCCAGTTGTTATTTTCTTAGTTTCATCATGTTTTTCAAGCAATGTATCAAATAAGACAATTCTTTTAGCACCAAATAAGCCACTGAAATATGCATTACTATGTGCTGATCGTTTTGAACCCTCTACAATATAAACTTGGGATAGAGGAAAATGTAATCTTGATGCTAAATTCTCAATACCCTTTCTGAGATCACCATCAGGTAATGGAACAAACTTGTCAAATAAGGGTGCAATAACTGTAGGGTAAAGTGTTAAAAGTAGTATAGTGGCTACTGTTGTGAAAAGCCACAGCCAAACTACAAACATATTTCCACCAAGCATTATAATGTATATTGCTATAGATACAATTGGTAATGTAATAACAAGACTAAGCACTAGTGACTTGAACTGGTCCTTTATAAAGAATCCAATTGTCTGCTTATTAAATCCATGTTTTTCTTCAAGAACAAATATTTGGTAAATTGAAAATGGCATATTTACAACAAAATTGAATAATGTTACAAAGGTCATGAAGACACAACTTATTAAAATTTCCTGGTCTGAACCAATGTTGAATATGGCAGCTATATTTTCAGATTTTTGCCATGCTGTATATATCCATCTATTGTAAAGAATAATTGATGTAAGTGTTATACTATAAAACTCCTTTACTATTTTATATTGAGATTTATCCATGCCATAAAGTCGAGCTTTCCTAAATGATTCCTCATTGAGAAATTCTTTTAAATCTTCTGGAATAGTATTGTTAGTCTTGTATATATTCCGCTGAAAATATGAAAAATTAAATATATAATTTCGTATCATAATACCGCTTTATTTATAACCTAATTTAGTAACTTAATTATTTAAACATTAATTCACACTTTCATGCACAATATTGATATTAATTAGACATATATAAAAAATTAAAACATTGACTGAATTTTGAAGCAAATGCACAAGTAAAACAAAGAAATGTTTAATGTGGGGAATTTTACAAATAGTTACGAACTTTTACTATGTTATAATATGGTTTACCTGTCGCAAAGAAAGATATAATTCCCATGAGTATTCTAGCCATGAAAATATTAAAATTAACGATAACAATACATTTTCATCAATACTCATTTTTGTAACAATAAATATTCAGCGATTTGCCCTATTTTTGCAGTAAAAAACTCTTTACTTGACATTAGAATTTGAGTGACGAGCACAAACTATACGTGCAGTGTTGCAAAAGTGAAAAAAATCGGTAAATCTACCAGCAAAAAATCGGGAGAAATCGGGAGATTTTTATTTGTAATCCATCGGCTTAGGTAGTTTTAAAACTAAAGGTAATTATTAGGACTTTTTGGAATAATAATGCAGATTTTACACAATGAATTTTTATTTAGATGAAGCTCAACAAAGTACAAACACCCGGCGTCCACCATTACAGATTCTCAAAAAAAAAAGTTGCCAGTGTTACAAATCAAAATAAGTGTTGTCTTACATAATAGGTACCTACAGCCAGAGATGCGCAAACTAGGTCCTGGAGTGGATTGAACATGGAATAGTTCCTTTCCATAAAGGAACTATGTTCACGAAACATGTTCGCGGAACTATCTAGTTCCGATAGTTCATCCGATCCGATCGTTCCGATTTTAACAGGTTATCACTGTCATCGGTTCCCGAGGACAGCATAGCGGGAGATATTGTTTTAATTGACCGACTGCAAAAAAAGGGGGTTATCAATTCGACACGTATGTATATAATATTATTAGAACTGCAAGATATTAACATAATATGATATATTAGGGCTTCGAAGCAAATATACAAAATTTTATAGGTGTATAGATGTATGTATGTATGTATGTATGTATGTATGTATGTTTGTTTGTTTGTTTGTTTGTTTGTGTGTATGTATGTTTGTCCACGCATTTCGCCGAATCTACTATTCCGACGTGATCATGCCTTTTTATTTGCTTACATTTATTTTAACTTAGGAATAGTAAGAATTTCAACAAAATCGGTTCATTGGTTTTGAAGATATGGATAAAAAAGTGTATTTTTTGTAATTACTACTTTTTACAAAAACTATTTCAGTTTTTACTTAAAACTAAAAATTACGAAATAAAAAAGGTTTAAAAAAAAATTAAACCAACTTCAAAAAACTACGGTGCTTTCGCGCGCAATGTGACTCTAGACGAACGCCACAAAGTACAAAAATATTGTGTCAAAAGTGAAAGAATATTATAATTTAAAAATATATTATTAATGTTTTAAAAGTTCAAAACGAAAATCAGATTTAATCAATGAATTATCGACTTTAACGCACAGTGAAGTAGGCACATTATTAATTGTAATAGCATAGTAAGAGATGACATTATAATTATTGCGAATACTCGCACACGCACTAGTCACTACAGAAGTTTACACACAGTACCTACGCGATATAATGGCGCTTCCACACAGCAGTGCAGCAGATAACATCACATACCTAACATTTTTTAACATGAAATAATTTTAAACCCACGAAAAAAAGGAGAAGGTTCTCAATTCGACACGTATAAATATTTTTTTTTATTGTTTGACCTCTTCTTACTTTGGTACTAGGTATCTACTATATCTACACTAAAAATGGAAAATAAAAACTTAAAAAAAACTACTTCAAATAAATGAAAATATTGTAAATGATTGTTTAACTTATGAATTATTTTATTATATACATTGATTTTAATTTTTAATTATTTATTGTTACTATTTTTATTAATTATAAATTCTAATTCATATTAGGTATTGTAAAAATTAAGAAAAAAGTTTAAATTAATAAACATTCTTTATATACATCATAATTAATATAACATTAGATCTAATACTATTATTATAATATAACTGAATATGAAAGGATTTTATTAATAATTAATAAATACTTACTTTCTTAAATTGTTTTAATAGCAATTTTAGTAAGCGCAAGAAATGAAAGGCTCTTTTTAATTTAATTTAATGTATTTAGTTTGTGTTCGGTGTTTGGCACGTGTTTATGATTCTCGGTGCTTGTGGCAAGCGCCCAGCATGTGGACGCGGCTTAACAGATTACTAAAAAAAATTAACGCTTGTGAGGACGCACCTTAAAATTTAATATATAGCTATAGCTCGGGTAGGTTCGGCAGGAGTCGGTTACGTTCAGTTCAGTCAGTCGCTCCGGTGATCGGTCCAATATATTCGTTTCTCGCTCCATCTCACTCCTGCACATGTGGAACTATATGGAACTGTGAACCTGTTTCAATTGACATCGCGGATTGGAACGATATCGTTCCGGCCTAGGACATAGTTCCGGGAACTATTTCAATCCGGACCTACGCATGTCTACCTACAGCATATTTAACAGTAATCAAATCATAAAACACGTACTTTGAAATGCCGGTCTTCCTCGTTCCATTTTTTTTTGCGATCAAAATAATCTATATATGACTGAGTCGAATCTGTACATCAAAGATTTTTTTGGAAAATCTTATTGAAATAGTCATTATTATCGATACAGAGGCCGAATAAATAGTTTTTAGAATTTTTGTCTGTCTCTCTGTGACCGCTTCACGCGAAAACCGCTGGGCCGATTTTGATGAAATTTGTTATGATGTATCGCTGGTTCTTCGGGTCAACATATATAGAGGAAGAGCCCGTGAACGCCAGACCTTCGCCATTTTATAAAGGCTGAAAGTTTGTCAGCGCATGCTCCCAACACAGATAAAAATGATGGACTGTTATGAAGTTCAGGATATGGTGGCTTTGGCAGGTACACGGTACTAAAGGTGTGTAAAATACCGATCTAAATTCGTCAAATAATAAAGTGTGATTTTTTGGTATTACCTTCAGAATATTATTAAAAATCACGTCATTCAATGCCAGACACTTAACATCGTGGCAAACCCTTGCCAGACACCCTTTTCATGAAATGATAATTCTACTTACGTTATAGTATAAAAGCTGATTTTTATATATAATACTTGGGTAATAATTAGATGATTTATAAGACTGCTAGCATAGCATTTATTACACACCATGAAAGATGTTCCAAACAAGTTGGGAGGCATTTCTAAGAAAATGTTGCAAATGGTCACCAAATTTGAAGCGCTAAGAATTGACTTTATTGTTGATGGTGTCCATACCGTCAATCTACTTATACTATACATCATATCATAACTAATATCTTAAATTAATTTAACTTTTAAATCTTATATTGGAACATAATGTATATTTTTTTTAATCTGGAGGTGGGCGTTAATGACTTCGACACAGTTTTAACTAATGTAGTCATTATCGAACATAATTTTGTTAATTGTTATCTTTAAAACGTGCCCAATAAAGATTTTTATTATTATTATTTAAGAAAACGTTACGAAATTTCAAATTATCACTTTCGGTACCTACGTCAAGATCAAATGACAGTTTTGACATCTGTCATTCAAAAAAAAAACAGTCTAGTCTATGGATATTTAGGATTGCCATTGCTCATTACATCAAATATATAATACCAAAGTTGTTTCAATGCTTCGAAAAAAAATTAAAATCATGGTGGCAAAATACTTGTCACTACCTTATATAGGGTCAAAAGTATCTTAGCTTTATTATTTGTTGAGATATTTTAATAATTCTTTCATATTTTTGCTAAGTATATTTTGGTTAATTTTTTATAATAAATGTATAAAAAAATTTGTTAACTTCTCCATTAGTGCTTGGGAAATATATAAAATACGAAAATAATGTTTCAAGTAGGGCTCGTAATATCATAGATTTACGCGCTCAAACAAAAACAATTCATTTTTTACATTGGTTTAGGCAAAGAGTATAGATATATACTGGCACATGTCATATAATACTGTTTAGGTAAACGTAACTAGTAGGTATATATATTTTTAACTTTTTTACTTTTCCTATATTTCTAAATTAAATAATAACGCCGATATGTATTGAAATCCATAATGTATTAGAAGTTTCAATGTGTTACAGCAAAACAACGGTTTGGGAAATGGAATTGCGACAATTCTTCTTAATGTACTTCACCATATGGAACATAGTTTTTATCATATAGACTAAGAGCTAAACATCTCAAAATCTTGAGGTATTTTTTTAATTAACTACATGAAAAACCAATTATGGTTTTACATAAAACAAAATATTACGAAACAAAAAATTCATTTGCAAATATCGACTATAAAAAAGTTACAATTAACATCATATTTTTTTTAAAACACTACATTTAACTAACAAAAACAAAGCCAGCAAAGCCGTCGAACATGGCAGTTTGGGGTTCGTAATTCCTCCATGTAAAATCTTTTTAAAAATAAAGTTGACACCATTTCTTTAGATTATTTACAAGCTATGATAGAGTATAATTGTTGATCGAAGTTTGCTGTCATCAAAAAAATACTTACTTGAAAATAGGTTACATATGATTTGGTCTAATGCTCAAATGTATTGCAACATTTTAAAAATACATATTGTTAAAATACAAGCAGTCTAACCCACATTTTTTTGATGAAAAATAGTTATTAGATGTCCTTAACGAATTTATTTCAAAAGAAAATAAGCTAAAAACAGTAATACATTTCGAACTCAAGTAAGTGCTAAATAAAAATATAGGTAAGTTTTAAGATGTATGAATGTATTTTTCAGTAGCTGTCACTTGTTAGTGGGTTAGGCTACTTCTGTACTCACTGCGTCAATTATAATTTTATATAATAATAAATAATCATTAGTATAATGTAAAATCTTAACTAAACAAAATAATAATTTTATCAAAATATACAACACATGTTCTATGTTTTATTAGATTCATTGTTTATATCAACAAAAATAATATCATTTTCTGGTAAACATTTAGTTTTATGAAACCAGCGTTGAACTGTAGATACAGAAGCCAACACAATACCAGATTTATACATAAACTTATATGCTGCAGGTGATTTGCGATATAATGACATGCAAAATTCTCTTTCTTTATTGGTCCATTCTTTTCTTGCTACTTTAAATTGCATTAAAGTCATTATTTTACTATATTCACTCCTAAACTTTTGTTTTGATAAATCAATTAAAGTTTTATCGGCAAACTTTTTTTTTAATGATTTGTCCTTATTAACAAGACGTCTTAATTTTTTTAAAGACTTAAATAGTAATGATTTTATATTTTTACATTCTGGTGAATCATTTTCATTTTTTTGTTTCCTTTTCTTAGGTGGACTCCAGTAAACTTCTTTTTTCAAGTCATCGGATTCATCAGGATCTTCACTCTTTTCTTTTTTTATATTCTTTAAAACTATGTCATTTATAAACATTCTTTCATGTGTATAAACTTTCAATCCTGGTGAGCCTTAAAAGAATAAAGGGTTATGTTTCTATTTCTACTAATGTACACAAATCCATAGTAATAATATAAATGCGAAAGTAACTCTATCTGTCTGTTTTCCGTTATCTTCATGATTAGCTATATTATCAGCTGAGCCAATTTAGATGAAAATTGATATGAAGATAGTTTGAGACCCTGCTTACTTAATGCTTATAGCATAATAATGCTAGCAACTAAGCCACTGATATATTTATATATTACATGTATGTATTCAGCCATTCTCTAACGTTCCACTGCTGGGCACGCGCCTCCCTTCAATACGAGGGGGATCAGGCCATATTCCACCACACTGGCCATGTGATTCACATGCTTTTCAAAAATAGCTAGGTTCTCTCAGACATGTAGGTTTTCTCACGGTGGTAATTATGTTAGAAATGATTTGCAAATAAAAATATCAAGAGGTGTAAGGCGCGGGATTTGAACCCTTTTCACTCGGTTTCCTAAGAGAGTGCATCACCACTGGGCTACCATTGCCTTAATTATATATTATATTAATGATATTTGCAAATATCAGTATATTTATAAGTTTATTATGCTTACCTGGTACAGAGGTGCTTGAGCTGTCAGGAGTCTTAACATCTCGATATGGTTCAGGTATGGCTAGTCTATTAATCCTTTTTCTACGACCAGTCACATTGGCCAAATATTCTTTACTAAAATGATCAATACATATATATTTTGTTCGAAGCCTTTCTGCTGGTAGGTGGGTAATAGTCATGTTACCTAAAATTGTATATAAATATAAGTAAATTCATTTGCTTTTAAATATGGTACCAGGGTTATTTAGAAGGAGACAGATTAATATTATTAAAAATAAAATCATTTAATACAAAATAAAAAGTATTTGCTCACCACAATTATTCAGCCATATTTTCAAGCGATTTGAATCATTCCATGGAAATCGGAACATTGACTTCGTAACTGTGGTGTTCTTACAACCGAAATAGGAGCACCTATGATAAGGCATTTTATCCTATATAAGCCGGGTCGTTGTATCAGCTAATTCTCAAAGTACGTGATGGAATAGTCAAAAGTCTAGTGCCAGCAAGGGCCAAAGGTATGTCAAGGAAGAAAGTTCTATCAGAGTCTGATTTAGGTAACAGAGTACTCTGTGATTTAGGTCCAGGTCAATAAAGATTAAAGATAAATAAAAATATTAAATAACCAACCAATTACCATCACATACAAGAAACAACAAGTCAAAGAGAATGTAATCACTACGTTTACACTGTTCCTGGTCTGTGACTGTGTTTTACACAAAACAACCTTGTAAAATGTTGTTCTTGTAACCTGTTCTTTGCAAAGTGCAAACTGAATAGAGTATATAGCCTATTATTGCTACATAAATAAAGCAAACTGCAAACATGGAAGAAAACGAACATGGATGACAATCACAGATGATAAATAAAATGACAATTGACAACACAAAGACACAGTGCTGCCAGCACTCGTGCAGAAAACGCGCTAACTTGACTTCAAAAAAGTGCTAGATTTGGACATATTTCGAAAAAAAGCGCTACATTATAAAAACAATCAAAAAAATCGGCCGTAAATCGTAGTTAGTAGAAACATAAGTGAATTTTAATTTCCTCGTTCGTTCCTTAAACTTAAAACCTCCATAACTCTGTTAATTTTGACGGGAGGAAAAAAAGTCATGATACTTTGTTATGTAAAATTTTAAGATCTACACATTTTTATTAAAACTTTTTTGTCTAATTTTAACCGTTTTTGAGTAATTGCAAAAAAAACATTTTTGATAAAAAAATTTCAACCCTTGTCGGGGGTTGCAGACACGAAAACCTTTACACATTATTCTCATATCATTAAAACTACATTATATCAAAAATGCCAAGTTGAGTTCCAAATTTTGATTTCAGACCTTATTTGACTGGACTATTAAAAAGCGCTAGATTGAGCGCTAAGTGCTATATTTTTTTGTTCGGCGTTGACAGAGCCAAAGTGTTAGATCTAGCGCCGAAGGCGCTAAGTTGGCATCAGTACAAAGACAATCCATGGATGACAAATCAAACAACAAACAAGATGTATCCAAGATGTATATACATAATAAAATAATGATAATGTTCTCCTAGCCGATTCCGGCTACATCTCATTGAGACTAGCCAACTGCGCAGGAGGTATTATAGTGCACAAGCGCACTCTGTATTCCTGTCACTCTCATACTCCGGTGGGACGACTGCTCGACACGACCAGTGAGAGTTAAGGCGCAGGACCGACGGCTTTACGAGCTCTCTGAGGCACTGGGGTGAAACACCGCCAATTGCCCAACTCCGGGCTGTTACTGAGACTTACTATACAGAAAGACTCAATAACTAAACTTGGCCCGACCTGGGACTCGAACCCAGGACCTTCGGGTGTGCAGCTGTACATGACTACACCACCTAGGCAGTTAGATGCATAGACATAATATATTACACAGATAGCAACAATATTTATACTTTATAGACAAAATTAATAATTTAAAATATTTAAACGTAGATATAATAGGTATGTATTTATAAACGTCAATTTCATGAGATAATTTATTTATATTTTCCAATTTATTATTTAAGCACAAATAAAAACGAGCATCGTAGAGTTGGCGCCATCTATGAACAGACTACGAAAGATCATACCATCGCAACCAATAATTATTGCCTCCAGAACATGGAACAAAAGCTCCATGCTCGAGAAATAGAACTATACTATTGAATTTTATAGAATTCAAATATATTGTGTGTTTATCCATTATTTCATTTTCCCTTACCCTAAGTTTTTTTTTATAGTTAGAGTATACATTTTTCTCATTCAATGTTTTTGTATTTTGAATTTTACATGAACATAAAACATATAACGCCATCGGGTCAAATGTACTTGGACAACAGCTGACCAAACCATAATAAATCTTAGGGCTGTGGTCTGTGGGTAACCACATTGTCACTTCCAAGCCAGAACTTCTTTATGGAAACCTGTGACTAGTAAGTAGAAGCACAGATAGTAATATAAGCGCTACGTTGTGCCACTACTTTATAAAAGACGTCACTGATATTGACTTAGCGAGATTAAAATAGCTCCCAAATAATTTAAAGATAATTAATTCTCTGCTGAGGATGGTGCCAAGCCGGAATTGACGCAATCGGACGGAATACCAGTCCTGAATGAGCTTTCAAAGTTCACAACATCACAAGTCACATCTTTTCGTCATAGCCTTTAGTTTTAGTCTTTGCTTCAATCCTTAAAAACTTATGTCTTAATCAGTGCAGCCTATGCTGCCAGAACGTAGACACTCACGAAAGTGTTGTTAAAGGATGCGTAAACTAAAGGCTATTCAGTGTGCTATGGTTTTCCATAGCACACTGAATAGCATTTAGTGTCTTTAGGGCTATGCTTAAGATGTCTGCCGCACAACTGGCAATTGTTGGAGCGTGTTAAAGCCCACTAATGGAAACCCTTTTTGTAACGTTGCATTTAGGCATACCACCAGCATAAATGCAGGTAGTTATGTGAGGCTCACCAGTTAGAAAAGCCAGTACTACTCATTTAAACCCCACGCCATTTCCCCGTCCCAATGGAGAGGCGTAGGATCGCTTACGCATTCAACTCCGACGCTCCGACGGCGTACTTGTCGAGGCAGACTAAAACAACCATAGCGGGGGCTGCGACAACATGGTCAAATGATCTTGAGAGGATTGCTGGCACTGGCTGGATGGGTAGATTCCAGTATAGAAAAAGTGGCAAAGAGAGAACCCTTTGTTCATCAGTGAAAGATGTGGGCTGTTTATCAATTGTTTGACGAATAAAATATAATGTGTTGCACAAACATACAATAAAGTTTTAGTTGTGAGCATGACACACTTCTCTAATGTACAGCTGTTCCCGCAACTGGGTCAAGCCTCTCTCAAACGTAAATCCTGGATCTGCCACTGTGTAGTGTGTACCGAACAATAGAACTTAATGTTTTTATCATGATTCTAAACTCTAAAATGATTCGTAAATGTAATTTAAGCTGTATCATTACAGTACAACACAATCTACTTAATCCTTAACCACCCGTTGACAAACATGACACTGCTTTTATTACACTTGCGCGAAGTTTAAGTACAACAACGCCAATTTCGTATAAAAAGACAGAAAATCAAGGCAAACGACAGTTATATTTTCATCGTAGAATAGTCAGTAGTAAAATAATCTAGTGAATTATAAAATGGCCTTTTCATCAAAAACCATTGCGTTTTTTATCTTAGAAGTGTTATTACTTATCTCTATAAACTGCAATGCAGATGAAAATTGTGAGACGTTACCAACAGAAATTCACGTAACTAAAGGTTTGTAAGCTCGTGATTGCTATGTTGTATATTGATCGGTCAATGAATATTAAAAGTTTAATTTCATTAAATTTATGTAAAAAGCTTATGATTTATAAAACTATGTGCGAGTTTATTGTTATTATAGAAATTATATCGGGGGACATAAGTTCTAACCTCCTGTATCTTTCGAATTTCATTTAAATCTCTGGAGGTGAATGAGAGTGACGAATAAATAAATTCTCATTCATTTACCAACTTTCGCATTTATAATTTTAGTGTGAACTATATTATTTTTATTATTAATATTAGAGTGAATAATAAGTAGGTATTGCTGTAAAAATGATTTTAATCTTTGACAGAAGTGTTATATTATTTAAATATATTTTTCCAGAGGAATATGATGAAATGGGCAGCTTAATGAGGTCGTGTAGCGGAGAAGTTAGTGTCAATAAATGTGAAGGAATATGCAACAGCCAAGTGCAGCCTAGTGTAGTTACACCAACTGGCTTTTTAAAAGTACCTACTTACATACTTTCATACATTTATATTTCTTGTGTGGTGTGCAATAGTGTTCATTATTATTATTACTTATTTTGAATTAAATTAGATAAATTAGAATATTAAAAATAGATACATCCTACATGCATAACTCATAATTTTTAAAATATAATAAATTCTATAGATAAACTTATCGTTTGCAGGAATGTTTTTGCTGTAAAGAAAATTATCTAAGGGAGCGATTGGTGACCCTAACTCATTGTTACGACGCTGATGGTATGAGATTTGAAGATGAAGACCGCGCCATTATGGAGGTGCGCTTAAGAGAACCTGCTGAGTGTAAATGCTACAAATGTGGAGATTACAGTCGCTAATTCAATGGAAATGATAATTTAGCAAACATAAAAAATGAAACAAAAAAACAGACACGAACCAATGTATTTTGTATTTTATAAATAATATAAAACAGAGGCTTGTTAGTGGTCAAGGACTTTAAATTATTGCAAATACAATGGTAGAAAAAGATTCAATCATTATATTAAAACGATGAAAATACAATATTTGTAGTTTTTCTACCCTTAATAGTTAATAGGTACCTACCTATTTATTTACTGTTCCTACTCTATTATGTACGCAATCTTGCTGTAGGTTGAGGTTGAGGCTGTTCACCTATTAACTAAATGTTTAATATGAAATTTTTTTATAGGCACATATTTACAAATAATTATTTTTTGTTCAATAAATGAATGAATTTATATCCACGGTAATGTTACATATTACATTACCGTGCTATATCTGCATCTACAGGTTTTATTACATAGTTACGTTTTTTAACTTTTGTTAATGTCATTAACCGACTTTTATTTACTTATTATAACTCGCGTCATCTAAAAAGAAAGCTGGAAGAAAGTGGACATTGAAAAATATATTAGATAGAATATCATCAAATAGAATTCTATTCATTATTAAAATATGTTTGAAATTAATACGTTAAAACATGTTTTTAAATTATTAACTGCATTATTATCAGACTCTCTCTTTGTAAAACAATATACGTCAAAAATAATTTTTCTCTTTTCTATATATTAAACCATTTCGTAATTAAAAACTTTTGTGTGCGCGATGGTATTTCGAACTGACAAACCAATAGCGCACCGGCAAGCTTGCGGCGTGTGCCCCGCGCTGCCCCGCGCCCCGCTTCTTACCACCAATTTGACCGAAAAATCGCTTCTGCGCAGTTTGACAGCCAGCGTTCTTTTTAAATGACGCGAGTTATACTTACTATAACTCGCGTTTTGTAAAAAGAACGCTGGAAGAAAGTAGAGGGGAAATGTTTGCGCATGGATATACTAGCGCACAAAATTACTAAGCCTATTATTTTATTTTTCATAGCATTTCGCTCGCGGCTTTCATATATTAGTTATGGGTAGGAACATTGAAAAATATATTATATAAAAAATTTTTTTTTTATAATTTTAAATATCATCCTTTGTCATTAAATAGAATTAAAAACATGTTTAGTTTCAGTGTAAAATGTTTTAATCTTTATATATAAAAACTACAACAAATAAATTAAATTAATTGAAAAATATTTTAGATAGAATATTATTAAATAGAATTCTATTAATAATTAAAATATGTTTGATTCAGTGTAGAATGTTTAATCTACTTACAAAAATTTAAATTAATACGTTTAATACATTTTTTTAAATTATTAACTGCATCATTATCAGACTCTCTCTTTATAAAACAATACGCGCCGAAAAGCATGCGGCGCGTGCCCCTCTACCCCGAGCCGCGCTGCGCCCCGCTTCTTTCTTCCAGCGTTCTTTTTAGATGACGCGAGTTATACTTGATGTCTTCGAATAAACTAGCGGCGCGTAACACTTAATTTTGATACCTACCACAGTCGATTACGATTAGTTTGAATTTGAAAGAAAAAAATTTAAGACACAAATTGGCGCCTGAAATCCGCTATTTGGATTTTTAAAAATATCTACATATTACTAAACGACTTAACCGATTCTAATATAAAATATTAGAATATAAAATATTAAAATCGGCTAAGTCGTTTAGTAATTATGAGGGAACATAGGATTTGGTATCCACACAAACAGTCGAGTAAAAATAACTGAAAGGAATTTTTTATTTACTTATTAGATAGTACCGATACTAACCAGATATATTTAATTATTATATTTTCGAAGTCAATGCCAGCCGACGCAAAGCAAAGCAAATCTATTTCATTTTAAATAAAACTATCTTTTCGGATTTAGTCGCGGATTTATTTGTATTTTTGTTTCCCGACGTTTCCGAAAAGATAGAAAATCCGAAAAGATAGTTTTATTTAAAATGTCAAATATTCGCGTAAATCTAAGAAAGTATTATGCAAATCTATTTCAATAAATACAAATACTCGTACATCATGTATCATGTACTCATACATCTAAATTCATGTGCAAGAAGTAATAAGTAATAACTAATAACTCAGAAGTCAGAACAGAACTTTACATTTTAATTTTTAAATATTTGAATTTTAGTTCTATATTGCTATATATAAAAAATAAAATAAAATCGATTTTTTAAATAAAACTATCTTTTCGGATTATTTCGCGGATTTATTTTGATTTTGGTTTCCGACGTTTCGAATGCTTTACACTTTACAGCATTCATGGTCACGGGAGAGACTAAGATTATAGACGTCTCAAAGGCGTTATACACTTGTTACAGACAGTGCTTACCCACTATTTTACATTTTATTTTGAACATTCATTGAAAGATAAATTAAAAAAAAATTCAAAGTATTTTTTTAAGGTGACATCCATTTTGTTGGTTAGGGTAGGAAATTTCCAAATTGGGCTTGAATGAAGAATATAAGTTAATTCTGTAATGAAAAGGCAATATTTAAGGATATAGGCAATGCGAGAATTTAGAGAGCCCGATTTGTTAGTATTGTTAAACAATGTTTTAATTTTTTCCTCCACTGCTAATGGCATGCTTTCGTCAAGAAGTGAAGCACCAAGGAGGCAAAGGAAATTTTTATCGACTGTCAAGATTGAATTCATTTAATATCTAAAGGATGGAAGTTTCTTGGAAACACAATTATCAGAGTATAGTATGTAGTTGTAAGTTAGACATAAATTTTCTTAATTAAAAGTACTTAATATTTTTATCATTTCTTCTAGTAAGACAGAATGGATAAGAAGTTTGGATATTGAAGTTGGTATAAGAATTTATTAGGATACTAGCGACTCACCCTCGCTTCGCTCGGGTTCGTCCCTGGCTTGCCTCCCCATACAAACTTTCATCCCCATTTTCATCCCCTTAAGGGATGATTCCGGCATAAAAATATATTAATATTCGGATAAAAATATAAAAGTCTATAATTCCGGGATAAAGATATCCTATAACCTTCCCAGGGTACCAAATTTCACCTAAATTGGTTCAGTAGATCCAGAAATTATCCCCCTACAACGTCACAAACTCACAATTCACAAACTCATAAACTTTACTTCTTTATAATATTAGTATAGATAGATTGACGTTGTATAGTATTAGTATTGTATATGAAATAAAAAACCATCTTATAGAAATATCACTCAATAGATAACGACACGGTCGCGGTTCCATACCTACGTGTATGTTGTATTATCTCTTTAACCATTTGTCCAAATTATATGCAGTAAAAGGGAAAAGTCTTTTGTTTTAAACATTTTAGATGATAAATTTACTTATTTTGATAAGAATTCATAATTGTTGATAATATGACCAATAAAAATGAAATACCGATTTAAATTATTTTTTGTATATAAAAAGATTTTATTTTTAATTTAAGTCAATGTAAGATTTTATATTTAAGTCACAAAAAGTAGATTTTTTTGTGACTTAAATATAAAAGTTAGACATATGCTGCCGTAGACTTTTTTGTAGGCATTATTAAGTTCTACAACTTTTCTCTAGAACTTAATCATACATCTCTTATCGTTAAGGCAGCGTTCGTAAGAAAAGTTTTGGTTAGACCGTTTCTTCTCCGACTTACCTTGCAAATCCGACTACCATGAAAAAGTCTTTTAATTCTTCGGGTTAATATATAGCCTATGACCCTCAGAAAGAACGTGGCTTTCTATTGGTAAAATAACTTAAAAATCAGTTCAGTAGATCCAGAGATTACTCCCTACAACATCACAAACTCACAATATCACAAACTTTACCTCTTTATAATATTAGTATAGATATTGTAAGACATTGCACTTGTTTCGAAGTATAAATTATAATGATTGGTTATCAATATACATAATATGTATTTCCCCTTATGAAAGTAAAGCGAGATAAGGAAATGAACTGAGATCAGTTACTTACTTCAATTATTATAAATGTTTTCATTCAAAATCAATATTCGATGTTCTTTGTTCTGTGGCTTATAGGCATTTAAAACCAATATTAATCAGCGAAGTATTCGCGAAGAAAAATTTTTTGGAAATTTAACCCGTGAAGAGGTTGGAAGTTTATATGAAAAAGAATCGGACTTCAAAAAGAACACTAAAAAGTAAAAAACAACTGATTGGTAGTTTTGATTTACTATAGATACCTAATGCTATGAAATCCACCAAAATTATTAACACAAAATTAAAAATTTTAATCAAATTACTTGGCAAGGTTTCGCTTCGGGTACACTCCCCTAAAGTATATTGTGAATGTATAAACCAAGGTATACGACAATGTTCTTTTTATATAGTACTGGAACAGATTCCTTTAGCCTTTGAGATTTAACTAAAGTATTTTATCTAACATTATTAAAGATGTCAATTTTATATTTAATCATAATCTTATATCTTTTAACGAGCAATTCTTGTATATATATATATATATATATATATATATATATATATATATATATATATATATATATATATATATATATATATATATATAGTAAAATTGTAAGTAAGCCGAATCTGTACATAAAATATTTTTTGGAAAATCTTATTGAAACAGACATTATTATTGATACAGAGGCCGAATCTATAGTTTTTAGAACTTTTATCTGTCTGTCTGTTATCGCATCACAGAAAAACCACTGAAGGGATTTTTATGAAATTTGTTATGGTGTTAGCTGGTTATCTGGGTCAACATATAGGATACTTTTTACCTCGGGAAAATGTCTCATTTCTGAGAAAAAGTACAAAAACTGCATTGGAACAAGACTATACTAATATGTTTAACCTAAGAATTTGGTTTTTGGTCACCTGAACGCGGGTGGAGCCGCGGGCAATGTCAGTATATTATATATATGTCATGATAAAGATATGAAAACAAATGGGGAATGAAATAATCTTGAATAAAAGCAAGTAAACAAATATTATTACATAATATATATTCAATAATTTATCTGTAACAACTTATATATGTACCTAGTGTCTAGTACCTAACCTACCTGTGTCAATTAGATAGATAGGTACTTAAGTAATATAAATTGGACGTATCAAAACTCATATAGAACTAATTGCGCGACGGTTTGTTATCTGTCTAGTAATATATTTACGAAGATTGAAATTTAGGGGCTTAGGATTAACATAAAATTTATAATTCCTATTATAAATATTAGTTTTGACCTAGGGTAAAACTAATAAATTACGAAATTGTTTTTATAAGTCCCTATCTTAAAATAGTAGCTAATACGTAGGTACATATTTCAACTTAAGTATAAATAAATATAATACTACAAACATTGTGTAGTTTGAAAATAAAATATAGGTATAATAATTGTTGTACAGATTTCTAAATAATAAATAGTTTTCCCAATCCAACTGAAATTTCAGAATTCATTTATTTATTTAATATAATTGATGATATTAAACCAATAAAAAGTATCCTATACGCATACAATTATTTTTTACTTGTAATTTTTGTTTAGCAGGCAAATGGAAATAAATAAATTTAATACAATGATATTTTAAAAATCATAAGAGATGTTTGTTGAAATGTACTTATTTATTAGTACGTCTATCAAGTGTTAGGTATGTCTTGCGTCTTGTGATTGCTTTAACTTAAACGTGTTATTGATGAAAAATCCATTATCGAAATCGTGTTCACACTGCTTGAAATCAGAACATTTCATCGGGGGTATGTTTGCTAAAATGAATTCAATGTATCCCACATTAAACAAGTATTTATGAACACGATGAGGTCATTTAAGCCCTTTATAAACAGGATTTCTTGTAAAATTTCTCACTTGACTTGCATCTTTCAAATTAGAATCAAGTTCTTAAGGAAAGGAAACTCCAAAGTCTTAACATTTTTAACAATATAATGTTTTCCTTGAATTTAGTTTGTTTTTATTTAATTTTCTTATCAGCTTGTTATTTCCCTGAAAATAATGTTAATGGTCAAGAAATACAGTTGCCGCCAGGTACAATACCTATTAATAAACATTAAGTATTGTATTTATGTAGCTTGTGGCAAATTATTTATATATTTTTTGCAGGCCAAGAATGCCAAATGACTCCAGTTATTCATGTTCTGCAACACCCTGGTTGTGTGCCAAAGCCAATTCCTTCATATGCATGCATCGGCAAATGCACGAGCTATGTACAGGTGATATTGTCATATAGTATATTACTATAGTACACTCTATATACGAATTTTTTTTTGAATTACAGAATAAAATATTTAAAGAAAAAGTACCTATTAGTATTTTTATATGTTTATATATTATTGTTATATGTTTTTATTATTTATATTATTTATATTACTGTCATATTATGTTAAGGTGTCCGGTAGTAAGATTTGGCAAATGGAGCGTTCATGTAATTGTTGCCAAGAGTCAGGAGAACGAGAAGCCACCGTTGTTTTGTTCTGCCCAAAGGCCAAAAGTGAGGAGAAAAGATTTAGAAAGGTAATTCGTATTTCAAAATGTTCGAAACATTTATATTTCTGAATGATAGTGCTTAAGGATTGTTTGCCTAGTAATATAAAGTGTGTAAAGTGCCTAATAAGAAAGTATAGAAAAAATTGAATAAAAAGCAAAAGGAAATACAAAAAATATATATTATATGTTTACATTTACAGGTATCCACGAAAGCACCCTTAGAATGCATGTGTCGTCCTTGTGGAACAGTCGATGAGAGTTCAATAATTCCTCAAGAAATCGCTGGATATGCTGATGAAAGCCTTTTACAAAGTCATTTTAGAAAAAGCTTATAAGTGATCAATATCACGATTATTCATGATAAATATAATAGTGACTAATATAATGATGTGAATCTGTAAATATGTGTTTATTAAAATAATTAAAAAAGCCTTGACCAAGATTAATGTTTTTTTTTTAAATACCGTCAACTTTGAAATGCTATTTTTTAATTTCTTTTATTTTAGTTAATGTTTTTGCTCCCTCATTATTCTGTATATGATATAGAGAATAGCTGTTTGTATTCGATAATAATAATTAACAATATAAATAGCAATATCGATTTTAAATTACTTCTTTCCATGGATGACAAATAAAAGTTCTTTCATAGAGCAATACTGATCTTGCTGTCTCCTGTCATTTTTTACTTTAAGTGATTGTTTTGATTTTCTAGTAGAATTTTTATTTTAATATTTTACCTTCTTTTTGGCAATAAAAGAACTAAAACCCAATAAAATGAGTCGTCGTAAGCGTGCTAAGGTATTTTCTTTTTATATTATGTTATTTAAGACTTAATCGGTTTGTTATGGTATTGAGGTTATGTTTATTGATCTTAGGTCGAAAACCGCGAATTAGATGAAAAATTGAAACAAGATGATTCGGAATCAGATCAGTCTGAAAAAAGTAAAATTACGCCTTCTAGTCCTACTTCTGTCGCTGGACGCCGGGAATCTTCATCAAGCCGAACGACTGATTCCAAAAAAGATGAAAAGCCGATTATTATTGAAGAAACTAAAAGTGAAGATATTGAGGAAGTTAATTATAAAGAAATGCTTAATAGGTATGTTATAATTAGTTTGTATAAATTCAAAACGTAATTTTTTAAATGCTTAAAGTAACGAGAAAGTTATGGTTAATTATTATTATTAAAATATAATAATAAGAAAAAAAAACCATGAGCTAAAATTTTGTCTCATTATTATATCATTATCGTTACATGTTATTTTCAAGTTTGGAAGGGGCAGCATTTCAGTCTAGACTGCCATTTGACAAAATGTCATCTCTTGAAGCGGAGTGTTTTTCTGATTTACAAGGACCATCGAGTCATACATTTGTACAAATCAGAAATCGCATACTAAAACTATGGTTTGAAGATCCTAAGAGGCAGCTAACTCAAGAACAATCAGTACAGAAAATGGAAGTAAGCATAATAGATGAATATTTAATAAATGCTTAATTTTTTTTAATATAAATTACCTATATAAATAGGAGATGTTATTTTTGTCAATTTTAAAATACATTATTGACAATGAATTTTGTATACATTGGGCGAGGTTGATATTAATCATATTTGTATTTGAGTGATTTACATAGTGAATAGATCTTTATTAATTTAAAATAATTTTTATTCTAGCCTCCATACAATGGAGATCCAGCACTAGTATTAAGGACTCATGCATTTTTAGAGAGACATGGCTTCATAAACTATGGAATATATGAACGCCTTACACCTATCCCTTCGCCACCTAAAGGAAAACAAAGGCCAAAAGTTATTATTATAGGAGCAGGTAATTATATAATTGCCATATCTTATATATTAAGAAGATTATTAAGTACTATTTAGGTATGCAATCCACTAAGTCTCAAGAATGTCATGTTTTATGCTAATAACTAGAGCCTCCAACTTAACTAATAAAAAGAGTACCCAATTTGACATAATATATTTTATTATGTACATTGTTATATATATAACTTTTAACAGAGCAATTATATTTTGATGTTTTTTTTTGTATTCAAGTTGACTCCATTAAAATTTTAAAAATTGATCTTCTTTAAATAATAATAAAGTAGCTAGGCTGCCAAGCTTCGCTCGGAGTTTTTGGCCTGAAGTATAATTTTCTTCTTCTTTAAAAAACTAAAAACTTGAATATATATTAAAAAAACAAAAGTAAAAACTTTTATAAATACAAGAATTACAATTTTCTTTAAAAAAAAACTAAAAACTTGAATAAATACAACAAAAAACAAAAAAAATATTATATCTTTGTATCCGACCGGGATTCGAACCCGGACACCTATGATTGTCAATCTTGCGTCTTTTATTTAAAAAAAACTAAAAACTTGGATAAATATTAAAAATAAAATAAAAGTAAAACTTTGTATGCGACCGAGATTCGAACCTGGACACCTGAGATTGTTGATCTTGCACCTTGAGCCGTTTCTGAGATTCAGATTATATAATGATACATATAAAAGAATTGCTCGTTTAAATATATTAGATAACATTTTATTTGAAGGTCCTTTTAAAAAAGTTAATTTCACCCTCTGTAACATCTGTAATGCGCACAAGCTCTTTCCATAAATACGAAAGTATAAATTGTGAATTATTTGAGATTGTAAATATTACATGAAACAATGTTTTCAGGTGTTTCAGGATTAGCTGCGGCTCGTCAGTTACAGTCATTTGGATGTGAAGTTGTTATTCTGGAAGGAAGAGACAGAGTGGGTGGGCGTGTTGTCACCTATAGAAAGGGGCCATATGTTGCTGATTTAGGTAACTTATATATCTATTATGTTAAAACTGGCTATTGTATGGTGCTTTGTGCATGATAAATTAATTCATACACTACATGTGTTTTGTAAATTTTCATTATACAAGTATATCATGCTATTATAATATTTTTCTTATTTGTAATCATTACGATTTAAAGAAAAATAAGCAAATTGATTTTATGCTGTTTCAGAACTTATGTTTTTTTAACATTAAGACACAGCACCATCTAGTGCCATGGTAAGCTACGAGGCTTGTGTTATGGATACCAGATAGTTGATACACTACACATATATAATTTTAAATACATACATATTATAAATATAAACACCCATGCCAGGAGTACAAACATTTGTGCTCATCACACAAATAAATGCCCCCAGCTGGACACGAACCCGCGACCACTGGCACAGCAATTACGGTCACTACAAACTGAGCCAAATGTGTCGTCAAACAAGATTTATGAACTATACTAGCGGCTCACCCTCGCTTCGCTCGGGTTCACCTCTAGAACAGTACAAACAGATCTATCCCACGGGAACCGTTCATTTTTCCGGGATAAAAATAAGTAACCTGTTGTTCGACCGACAATATAAGGTATCAGCATGCCCAATTACTCAATTAGATGCATAAGTTGTTGTGTACTGAGCTGTATAAGTTACTATAGTTATTTGGCGATTCCACGGAAACTCTTTAATTTTCCGGGATGAAAAGTAACTGATTTGTTTTTGTCATGTATGAACTATATTATTGTAAAGTTTCATTAAAATCCAATCAGTATTTTTGTGTACTAAGCTGTATAAGTTGTTATAGTTTTTTAAATATCCCAAAGAAATTCTTTAATTTTCCGGGATGAAAAGTATCTAAGATGTTACCCGGGGATAGAAGGTACCACCATGCAAAATTTCATTTAAATAGGTCCAATAGATCCGGAGATTAGCCCGTACAAATAGAAAAACAGACAAACAGCTCGCTCGGGTTCGTCCTACCTACGAATATGTTGTATTATCTCTTTAACCATTTGTCCAAATTATATGCAGTAAAAGGGAAAAGTCTTTTGTTTTAAACATTTTAGACGATTAATTTGCTTATTTTGATAAGAATTCATAATTGTTGATAATATGACCAATAAACATGACCTACCGATTTAAATTGTTTTTTTAATATAAAAAACTACTTTTTGTGACTTAAATATAAAAGTTAGACATATGCTGTCGCTGACTTTTTTGTAGGCGTTATTAAGCTTTACAACTTTTCTCTAGAACATAATCATATATCTCTCATAGTTAAGACAGCGTTTGTAAGAAACGTTTCCGTTCGACCGTTTTTTCTCCGACTTACTTTGCAAATCCGACTACCACGAAAAAGCCTTATCATTTTTCGGGTTAATATATAGCCTATGACACTCAGAAAGAACGTGGCTTTCTATTGTTAAAAGAATTTTGAAAATCGGTTCAGTAGATCCAGAGATTACCCCCTACAACATCACAAACTCATAAGATTACAAACTTTACCTCTTTATAATATTAGTATAGATAAACTAAACTATAATTGACAGAAAGAAACAGGCCTAGACTTAACTAAGCTAGAGCATTTATAGTAAAAACATTCTTTCATTTCAAACAATTTGATTGACTTTTTAGGTGCTATGGTAGTAACAGGATTAGGTGGTAATCCAGTAACAACATTATCTGTGCAAATGAATATGGAATTGCATAAAATTAAACAAAAGTGTCCATTGTATGAAGCAACGGGAAATCAAGTGCCTAAACATAAGGATGAAATGGTAAGTTATATATTCTTATTATTGAAGTTATATTTCTTTTGGCACATTTGGAAAAAATATGAGAGTAACATTTTTACGATGCTTGGTTTTTCAAGGAAGTTCGTTATTACTAAGCTTCTACCGTTTAAAGTTAGATATATTAATATGTAACTAGGTACTCTTATAGTAAGAAAGTTTGTATGTATGTACTGTTTCTCAAAGAAATGGCTGGACGGATTTGGATAAAGTTTAGTATAGGCGATAGATTGTACTATATAGGCTACTATTTGTTACGTATTTGTTATGTATATAAATAAATATGTTGGGACACACAGCACCATCTATTTTCATGGTTAAGTTACAAGTTAAATATAAACACCCATGACTGGAGTACGAACATTCATGTTTATCACACAAATGAATGCCCCCAGCGGGACCCGAACCGGCGACCGCTGACACAGTAAGTAGGGTCACAACAAATTGAGCCAAACGTGTCGTCATCATATGTCACATCATATGAACATGAATAGTAGATTATGATAATCATTTGTGTTATTTTTAAGGTGGAACGTGAATTTAACCGCTTGTTGGACGCCACGTCTTACTTGTCGCACCAAGTGGACTTCAACTACTACAATGATACACCAGTCTCTCTTGGGCAAGCTTTGGAATGGGTTATAAAACTGCAACAGAAGAATGTTAAACATAAACAGGTAATATTTATATTAGGGGTGTGCGAATATCGTTCGAATCGAATCGAATATCAATATTCGATTCGAAATTCGAATCGAACAATTCGAATTTTCGAATTATTCGAAATTCTTCGAATAATTCGATAAATTTCGAATAATTCGAAAAATTTCGAATAATTCGAAAAATTTCGAATAATTCGTAAAAATTTCGAATAATTCGAAAGTTTTCGAATAATTCGCGAATTAATGAAATATCTCTGGATCTTCAATTGTATCCATTTAAATTCCTTCAAATCGTGTGTCAATAGTAAGTATATAAAATAGTCTACTTACGAATAATATACTTTTCGTTTAAAAATTAATTACCCAGAGAAAACAATTGCTCGGTTTTAAAATTTGCAATATATGTTTATTATTGACTGTTAAATTTTTATTCGAAAATTGAAAATAAGAAACCCTGAAAAAAATTTGAATTGTTCAAAAAAGTTCGGATTATTCGAAATTTTTCGAATTATTCGAAATTTTTCGAAATTTTTCGAATTATTCGAATTTTCGAATTATTCGATTCGAGTTTCGAATCGAATATTAATATTCGATTCGGAACGAATAATTCGTAAGTTCGAATTATTCGCACACCCCTAATTTATATATTACTAGCCTTTTAACGTATAGTATAGATTTCTCAGAGATGAGATGTTTTTACGCAGTAATGAGTATCCTATATATTAACACGGATAATCAGCTATCATCATACCAAATTTTATCAAAATCCCTCCAGTAGTTAGTTAACTATAGATTCGGCCTCTATATCGATAATAATGACTATTTCAAAAAGATTTTCCAAAAAATATTTAATGCACGGATTCGAATCAGTTATAATTTTATTATATCAGGTACAGATTAGTTTTTTCCTCTATATTTGCTTCTATGGTACGTGAGCGACTATTAAAACCACTTTTTACTTCTTTCGGCGTTTAAAATGTAATCATTATCTTTGTCAAATTTTATTGAAATCGGTTCAGTGTAAGCGTGAAAAGGTGATAAAAAGGCAGATAGATTTACTTTAATATTTATAATACCAGCGATTCACTCTATTTTCGCTCGAATGCGTCTCTAGTAGTTTAGAAGCGTAAAATTGAATTTACCGTAATTTTTAAGGGTTTTCCATTTTCACGCTGGAACCCTAAATATTTCCAAAATAAAACGTACCCTATATGTAGTCCTAAAGTCCTCTATCTCTCAATCAAAGTCCCATTAATCGGTTAAGCCATTCCAAAGATTATTCCAGTCTAAAAGAAAGACAAAAATTTAAAAAGGGTTGTTTAGTAGTGCTAGTTTAGATAATAGTATGTATCATATAAATAACTCTGTGCACGAAAACATAGTTATTTTCAAATAACAGACAGACACTTTAATTTTATTTATATACGTATAAATGAATAGTGTACTATTCCACGTTAAAACTAGTTCATAAATTGCTGTGTGATGAAATGACAGACCAACAAACATTCTTTCGTATTCATGATATTAAATAAGGATTACTTAATAAAAACTTAATATGACTACTTTGTATTTGAGCGTGTGTATACAAACCTCAAAGTTTCAAGGTATATAGCTATAACAAAGTCGTGCAGTTCGTTCATGTTAATCCAGATTATAAGATACTAGCAGAACCCGCGGCTTCGCTCGCGCTAAAATTACAAACAAAACTGTAAAAAAGGTAGTTTCATACAAACTTTCATCCCCTATTTTACCCCCTTATAGGATGAATTTCAAAAAATGCTAAAACACTTATTTATTTAATTTTATTGAAGAGCATTAATGCCAAGTTTCAAGTAATTCTGATCATAAATATTTTTTTGGATTCTATCATAACGTGTTTTCCCGTGGGAAATAGATAATCTCCCGCGGTAAAAGTAGCCTATGTCACTCACTCACTCTCCAGCCCTCCAACTATCTCACTCCACACAAAAAATCATGCCAATCCGTCACTCCGTTTCGACGTAAAAGAAGGACAAACAAACAAACACGCTTTCACATTTATAATATTAGTATGGATATTTGACTTATTTTTATATCAATACTTTTTTCTATCCAGATCCAACACCTGAAAGCAGTTATTACTCTTCAAGAGAAACTCAAGAACAACATAAACAAGTAAGTTTTAAAGGTTTCGTGTATATTTAATTTAAAATTTACTAAGAATTTGCCTTGAATAATGAATTTCAATACGAACTTCGTCATATTTTTTGTGCGGTAGTCAAATAAGATAGAGTTGATAACGTAACAATATTTGCATGTTTCCTTTTCTTCTTCCACTGACTTCTTTGACACTAAGTCTGGGAGGAAATTAATTAAAAAACAAAACTGTTTTTTCTACTATCTTTGTGATTATATACTTATTTAATGTAAAAAGATACATAACAATCGGTTTAGAATTTGCACAGATATCATTTAACATACACTCAAAACTCATACTCAACTCAAATTGAGATGTCCTGTTTTCTATGTTAGTTAACATAAATAACAATTCTATTCTCATTTTTAGAATGGCTGACATAAAAGAGCTATTAACATCGATGAAGATAGAAAAGGAAGCACTACTAGTAGAGAAAGAGAAGGGTGCATTGGGGGATACGAGCATTCTACAAGAGTTCAATTTTCGAAGACTTAACCGTGAAATGAATCAGTTATGCAACGAATATGAAGCAATGCAAACACAGAATACTACTATAGAGGATAAACTGACCCAGTTGGAAACCAATCCACCGAGGTTAGTCTTGTTTTGTAAATGTGATATATTGTTCTATAAGATTTCCTTCGAGCTGCTTTTGAGCTGAAGGGACAGAAATACTCACTATTTTGCCTGGGCCGCCAGTCTAGGGTCTCGATCTACTTGTAGAATCGCAAATAGCAAAAATGGCAGTGAAGCGAATCTAACAAGTATTATGTCACTTGTGGTTTTACTTTACTAATACATAAGTACAGATACTATATTCATACTGCGAAATGATGATGTCCTCTCTATTGAAGCTCGTGGTGCTCGGTAACATATGTGTTTTATTCGAAGTTATAGACTAGCCATCCACAATAAAAGACAGTAGGTAACAAAAAGAATGTTATAAAGAAGTAAAATCTCTTTGTAATAAATTAATTAATTAGTTTGAATTGGAAACATATGACTTAAACTCCAACGACAAAGTAACAGTTTGTTCGATTCGATTTAAGAAGAAAATTAATTAGCTTTTCTATAAGATAGCTACTTACTTTAAGAAACGAAGCGAAGTAAAGGAATTTTATTATGTACATACTTTGTACGTAGTCCTTTAACATTAGGTATTCAGAAGTTATATGAAACTGTACAGAATTGACCGGTTAAATTGGACAAGTTGATGTAATAATATTAATTAACGAATGTGTTTGTGTCGTTTTTAACATATTTGATTGTACGGGTTTCTGTAATTACTGTGTAATATTTTGAAATTTTTTACTTAAGGCTCGACCCTGACAGTCTTGTCGAATTCTTTGCGTTGTTAAACCTATAGAAAAAAAGACTTACTTTCCAGAAAAATATAAACCTTATTTGGGCATTTTAAGACAAAAATAGTTAAACGAGTATGCCCATTGTCCAGTCTATCGAGGGTGATGTGGTTTATGTATAACGAACCATATAAGTATACATATATATAGATACTAGCATTGCCCGCGGCTCTGTCCGCGTTCAGATGACCAAAAACCAAATTCTTAGGTTTTACATATTAGTATACTCTTACATTGCAGTGTTTTTGTATTTTTTTTTCTGAACATTTTTCCGCGGTAAAAAGTATCCTATATGTTGACCCGGATAACCCGTTATCACCATACCAAATTTCATCAAAATCCCTCCAGTGGTTTTTCTGTGATGCGGTAACAGACAGACAGATAGACAGACAAAAATTCTAAAAACTATAGATTTGGCCTCTGTATCGATAATAATGTTAATTTCAATAAGATTTTCCAAAAAATATCTAATGTACAGATTCGACTTAGTTACAATTTTATTCTATGTATAGATTGTTTGTTAAGAAATTTGAACCACCTTTTAATAACATTTTTATTAAAGTGTATTTATTTATTTAAATTATTTACACATTTATCGTAGAAGTGTCTTTTTATATACTGGAGTTGGTACAACTTTTGCAATATTTTAAATTAGTCCCAAGCGGAATCAACTTGTACTTTTCGACGATACAACATCTGACTTTTGCGTTGGGTTGTCCGTGTTATTATATTAATATTTATAAATATGAAAGTTTGTGAGTATGTATGGATGTTTGTTACTCTTTCACTCCAGAATGGCTGAACGGATCTGGATGAAATTTGGCAAAGAGATAGATTATAGTCTGGAATAAAACATAGGCTATCATTTGTATCCGAAAAAATATACGGTTTCCCGAGGGATAGATTTGTTTTTGTTTTTCTAGAGGCGAACCTGAGCGAAGCGAGGGTGAGCCGCTAGTATATCATATATTATATCATAATATATTTACATAATATTTATCGGACTACTATTACAGTTTACTATTATTATAAACAAAAAAGTTTGTATGTGACACATTGTACACTTTCACGCTATATTTTCTGGATAGTTAAAGTTAATTTTGAGATAAAATATTAATAACAACATATTTTCAGCTCAGTATATCTGTCTGTACGCGACAGACAAATACTGGATTGGCATTTCGCTAACTTGGAATTCGCAAATGCCACGCCGTTGGGAAATCTCTCACTGAAACATTGGGACCAAGATGACGACTTCGAGTTTACAGGAAACCATTTGACAGGTAAATTATATAAAAATAATTAATAATTATAACTAGATAATTTTATCGTGTGTTTTCATTATTTTTTAGATTTATTATTTTGTATGTAAGAAATTATTTTGGGCGCGTCATTTAGGACAATCGTCATTACAGCTTTCTTAAAGCCATGCACTTTGATACAGACCAATATTCCACATAAACTTGCCCCGAAAATGTATCCGGATAAGAAATTGTTTTAGTTTATTCTTTGGCCCATAATTGATTTCTATGCAATTGCTTGTTGATATGTTATTTCATGAAAAAGATCTTTCTTTCATTCAAATTAACATAATATAGTCTTTTGCATTAACAAGTTTTTTTAAGCCAAATGTTACTAAAATTTAAATACACTAGCTAGAATATAATGTTAACTACATACAATAGTTACCTACGTCTTCATAAGCGCGGGATTTGTAGTTCGTGTAAAACGCTTGTAATTGTAGTAAATATGTAAGTCTGTGTGTTGGAAAAGAACTTTTCAAACGATTCCGAAAATGATTTCGTCAACAGAAAACTACACTATACTTGAGTTACATACATACATAGGTTAACTTTTTTCGATGTTCACATCACTTGTTTTTTTATTAAAATACATTATAGAAAAAATGTACGAGCGAAGCCGTTTGGGCAATTGTATATTGTTTTTTATATATAGTCATCTATTATAATTATGTATATTGATAATTATCAAACTTGTAGATCAACTTATAAACATGACAGAAAAGCTATGTTCGAAGTAGCATGTGATAGTGAACTTTCATTATTCATAGTTCGTATAGATAATGATTTAGTTCAGTATAACGCACGATCGATCGAGCAACCAGTCTACTTGCTTTTTGGGTTTCGGTTGTTGTCAATATCAAAATTATATACGAAGTTTTTAATAGGATAGGTATGGATTACTTCTTTACGCTATATCGGCTCAATTTAACAAATTCGGAATGGATGTAGGTTATATGCTTAATTAATACAGGCTTCTTCATCAACGTACATCACAAGCGAACGGAGTTACGGGCTAGTAAAATATGACCTAAAGTTAAAATAAAATGTTATTACAATTGTTTTGTACTTCATTTGTTTTTAAATATTGCTATTGATTTTTTTATATCTGTTTAATCTCAAAAGTTTCAATGTGATATTATATACATACATATATGTACATATGTATTTATTAGAGAGAGTAATATCGAGTATGTACATAATATGCAATAAAACAAAACGTTTTAGGACCATAATCCTTACAGACAACAGCATGCATAAAAATACACTAAATTTAAACTTTACAGTGTGCCCGCATGGATTTCACAGATCGTTGTATGTTAACTCAGCACTGAAATTGTAAAACTTTCCTCAAAGTCCAAAGCTTTAAAGTTTTTACTATACGGGAGACGCTTTTAATATTATATTTTACTAAAATATTTATATTTATTACTGAATAATTAATACGTTATATTATACATATAGTATATCATATTACTTGTTATGATATACATTATATCCGTATTCGGTATTATTATTAATATTAAAAATGTGCAAGTTTGTGAGTATGTATGGATGTTTCTTACTCTTTCATGCCAAAACGGCTGAACGGATCTGGATGAAATTCGGCACAGAGATAGATTATAGTCTGGAATACATAGGCTACTTTCTATCCCGGAAAAATATGCGGTTCCCGAGGGATAGATTTGTTAGTTTTTCTAGAGGCGAACCCGAGCGAACAGTTAGTAGTTAATTTTCAAACTCTTTGTCTATTTGTAAGGGCAAGTCTTTAAGTTTTCTATAGATTTTAAAAATAATTGCAAAAAAATTGCACTGGATTCAAACTCACTTTAAAATTAATGTGGATGGATGGATGGATTATAATTTATTTGGGACTAAATAGGAAGTTATAAAAATATATGAAAGTCAATTTATAGTTTTAGAAAAATCGACCATGACGTTCATGTATATAATAGTATTTATCCTTTATGGTAAATTCAAAATATAGTCACAAATTATTTTTTCAGTAAAATAATTTGTACTTGTGACTATATTCGTAGGTACACTTAATTTTATTTGATCTATATTTTTTATATAAATTAGTAACACGATAAGTAGAAAATGTTTCTGTTAAAGCTCTTTAAGTGGGTTAAAGGTTAGCACATTAAGTTCATAAATCATGAACCAATCTGTGTCGACATCGTTTGATCGATCGGGTAGCAAAATAAACGAGTCATCGCTTTAGCTGTAATTATAGTCATTCGCGCAGTACACTAGAGGCAATAACTTCGATTAACTGCAGTTCTCGTTAGAGTTTTGCAACAATTTTCTATCTACATACCCACAACGATATATTCGCCATTGTGCCACATACAAAAGTTTCCAATAGAAATAGTTATCCCTAAAAGGACATCTCGCTTCTAGAGCTTGCAAAATATCGATAGTAATAATTCTATGCCCGATATAAATTATAAAGTTATTATGGCTTGAAATTGTTATAATGAATTATTACAGTATGACAATAAAAATATTATTTTTATGATAGAGCATTAACTGGTGGAACTGGATACCATATATTTCATGACTCTTGTTTTAATTTTTTTGAGCGGAACCCTCATTCTTTTCTAAAATAAAAGTAACCTATGTTACTCCCTATAACATTAGCTATTTTCCAGTGAAAGTCCCGACAAAATCAGTCCGTTTCAGAGATTATCCGGAACAAACAGACAGACAGACAAAAAATTAAAAAAATGTGTTTTTCTTATAAGTACCGTATTTCATACGCATTTGCTAAAACGCTGTTATTATCTGTATAGATTTCATTCTAATTGGTCTATCCGCGAAGAAGTAACAAACATATATACGCATACAAACTTTTGTTCAAATATTTGTAATCCGAATCTAATATCATCTTAATAAATATTGAATTGGTTATCGGCCTTTGAAAATATCGATAGTAGTTCGACACTTTGAACATTACACAACTATCTCATTTGTTACCACGTGAGCGTCTCCTTCTATTATACAATAGCACTCTCAATGTGTATTTCACTGGAATCTGAATTTATTATGACTCGAAAACAATATTTGCTTTTCATAGTCAGAGAAGTGTCACTAGAGTATTATGTTTTCAAATGTCGTTGATAAACTTATATTTATCACAATAAACGAGAAATGTCCAAGTGATACCTATTATAGCCGCAACAAAAACTTATATTTACGTCTAAAATGTCTTTGATCTTATAAAAGTACATTTTATATGTTAAAATGCTGGAAATTTAAACTTGAAAGTATTTCATTCAATTAAAGATTGACTTTAAAAAGAAACTTGTTGTGAGATTTGCTATCTGATCTTTAAAACTCGACGGCCAACAAGTAACACGTTAGTTTAAACTTATTATCCACTTAACGTTAACGATTATCATCATTACGTTTGTTCTAATGATGCAGGATGAGTGGTGAAAATGCATGTATTTTGTACATCGCAATTTCTATAAGCTCTTAATACTTAAAGTATTTTTAAGTAACTTTAATCTTTGGGCACGTAATATATTTTATAATCGATTTTATAAGTTACTAGCATTGGGCGGGTCCGTCCGCGTTCAGATGACCAAAAACAAAATTCTTAGGTTTTACATCCGTATACTCTTACATTGCAGTTTTTGTATTTTTTCTCAGAAAAGAGATATTTTCCCGCGGTAAAAAGTATCCTATATGTTGACCCGCATACCAAATTTCATCAAAATCCCTCCAGTGGTTTTTCTTTGATGCGGTAACAGACAGACATGCAGACAAAAATTCTAAAAAGCATAGATTCGGGCTCTGTATCGATAATCATGTTTATTTCAATAAGATTTTCCAAAAAATATCTTATGTACAGATTAGGCTTGGTTACAATTTTATTATATGTATAGATTATTTAATATTAGTATACAATAAATAAAACAACTCTTTATAAGTATAGTAATACTTCATTGTATTTTACAAAAGTAGTCAACGTAATGTGCGTAGAATGTAAGATTATGACTCAACTTGTATTAATAGGCACCAACCAATATATCGGTTTATACCATTTGCTAGTGCACAAAATCCCCGTTATAACATTTTGAGTTATCAGGCACATTATCCATGTATAATTTCGCAGTGAATAGCTATTTCGAATCCCAAACGAGTTTGGAGGCTGCCGTCCCGCCCTTAGGGCTCTCTCCGTTATGAATGTGGAATTTTCGAATTAGTGCTTACTTGTGATCTTTAAAGCGTATGGCGGAATTTAGCTCCGAGCGGTCCTTCGTGTCAATAATTGCTATTATTTCCTGCCTCCTGTTTCCATCTTCCACCGTATGTATATAAATTGTTGTTGTTTCTGTGAATTGTCATATTAAGTATTACATAAAGGTTAAAACTTGTCGACGTTACAAATAGATAAAAATAAAAAATGTCGGCGTTAATCAAATTGACGCACGTGAGATATTTTAATATAGATCGCCCTTGTATAGTACTACTCTACAATCCTATACTGATCGAGATCATGCCAGTAGTTTATTACCATTGTTTAAGTGTAGTTTGCATACGCACGTCCGTAAAACAGTCGGTCACATAAAGCATGGGAAGGTATGGAGTGAGTCTGTTCACTGTTGGTAGTATTCAACCATGTGATATGTATCGCGACATTCACGGGACGCCTCTTTGTAGGACGATGCGTGCGTCGTCGGCCATATTTCTTATTCCAATGTCCAGCGTGGGTAGTTGAAAAATGACATCTTGATTGTTGCGCGTTATCCTACGTATGAGAATGTCGACTCGGGCACTAAGTCGCGTGCAGCGCCATTGTAGCCTCGTTGCCACAGGCCCTACAAATTGAACGATTGTTAACCGTTCCATGAAACGCTATCGTGACTCGTAGAATTATTATATTTACCGGGATATCGTATTTTGTTAGGCCAGTAGTTTATGCATGAGGCTTATTTGGTTGCATGATCGAGTCTGCACATTATGTTGGGAACTGGATTAACTTTACGATTGAATTTAGATTGGTTCCCGTTTATAAGTACGGTAGTTACTGGCGGATATAATTTTATTACCTTAGGACTTTTCAATTAAAGAAATCGAATATTTTAAAGAATTTTTATCTTAATTAGTTTTACTCATTATTTTCACACTCGTGAGTTTTTTATACACAGAGTGATAAAAATATATTGACAGTAATTATATCTTTAGTATGCTTATTCGTGTGATAAAGCTGCGTTTAACTAAATTTATATGTTTAACTGCTATTTACCAATGAGAAATTATACCTAACCAAGTGCTCGTGGTGGCCTTTACGACCGAATGATAGTTTTATAGTCAGACTCGCAGCGGCAACAAGTTTTTGATAAGACCACGCGTGAGGCAATAATGTATGAGATACAGCTGAGTCTTATACCTCATTTATCACCCGCTCTATGAATAAAATATCCGTATGCATTGCTTTTAGAACTTATTCAGTTAATAAGTTTCAAAGATATAAACCTGATGGAAACAATAATATTTATTGCCGAGTTATGATATTTTATGCCTATTTATCAATACATATTTTACTGGAAAACTTCAATAATAAAATAATAATTTATTGCTTTACATAGTTTATTTAGAGTTCAGTTATTTAATTTACTAGCGATCACCTTAAACAGTTTCGGTACTTACGTTTTAACGCCACCGCTGTAGATTGGCTGCATTTAAAACCCGCCAAATCTGTAGCTGCGGTGGCTTGAAATATATTTTTTGAATATTCCAATAAAGGCATATATATCCTTAAAATAACACGCCACCGCAGCTACACATTTGGCGGGTTTAAAGTGCCGCCAATCTGCAGCGGTGGCGTTAATACGTAGGTACCAAGTTTCTTATATACATTTTACATTTATGGCTGTATCATATTTCGTAATATTGTATAGTACATAATAATTTAATTAATTTAGTTATAGTTATTAGAAACATGAGTACATGGATCGCGACGGTTGCCTGCGAAGGCGTCAGGGGCGTGGATGAATAGAAATGAGACGACGAATGGCTCTATTAATACGCTATTGTTCCCTGTGATCGTTGAGTTGCGCAAGCGTAGACATTGTTCGTCTTGTGGCTTTCACGAGTTTTGCTATAGTTCAGTGACGTCATCGTGCGACCTAAATGCTTATCGTGTTAGATGTAATTTGCATTCGCCGAAAGCTACAGTATGTTGAAAGCGTAATTGCTATGACAAATCCTTTAAGTTCTTATCAATACGCTCGTAATCGTGTTGATAAAACAATGGAAGTGGTGTTTCTGTTAATTATATTTAATAGGTTACGTAAAACTTGTTTATGTGGTATAATATAATCTTTTAAAACATTATGGTATGGTACTTATACGGACTTCATAAATAGTAGGTATTGCTTATAACCATCACCCAGTGTAAGTCTGATATGTACATCATGTATTTAGAATATGTATGCAGTTGTTGTTAGTCGTGTAGGGTCAAGATCTTGCGATATTATATCATAAAATTTTCCCGGTTTTAATATGTGGATTCTGACAAAAAATATTTATCATGCTCATTAATTTGGTGCAAGTATTGATGTGGTGTGAATTCCATAGTGTATTGTGCAAAATGTTTTTTGTTTTGACTTTACGATAGGTGTTCTGTACTTTCTTATAAATCTTTTAAAATACTCTCATAAATTGTTCAGATCTCACGCAGCGTCTGTAGAAACAAGCGTTTGTGAAGGGTAAGAGGCTTAAAAGTAACTAGCACATCGCGATAAACCGGGAGCGTTGTTTGTGAAAAGCGACAAATATGTGTTGGGGGACTTTTACTGGCAGGCTTTGTGGTACTAATTGACAGGTAGGGAGTATCGTATCACACCTTGCTTAGGAGTGAGCGCCATCAAAGTTCATCTAAGATTCGATAAAATGGAAACTTACCCGCATTAGAAACGTTCCTTCTATTATTTTCTACATATAACATTTAAAAACAGCATAGATCTATTTTCAAAATCTTACATCTTACCTACTACTATTAGGTACTTAATGAAAATTTGTTTAATATACGAAGAACACCAACAAACTCTCATCGCTCGTTTGCGTTCCTACGTGCCTTAAAGTAGCATATTATGATATGTTACTTCAGGTCATGATCTATCTGTGTCCTAAATTACATCCAAATCCATCGAGCCGTTTCAACGTAAAGGTGTAACAAACACACATACAAACTTCTTTTTTTATATACATACAAACTTACGCATGAATAAATAGTAGTCCGTCTTATCAAATGAAATTAAAGTGTTTATTTTTTTTACTATGTTTTCTTTAGGCGATTCAGTCAATGCTTTGCAGCAATGATACATTTTCAGAATGCTTATTACCAACATCAATGCAAGAAATTGAAAACTTGCAAAGTTTACATTTGAGATGTGAATGCATCTCACTTTCCTATGAGCTTACACATGAAAATGCCGTTACTTATGCAAATTGAATTGTAAGTTCACATGAACTGAATATAAATTTAATTTTAATCGTATAATCGCACTCGTTCAAATTTTGATTATTCTATGTTAGTTTATTGGGCTTCAGCTTTAACTTTCCGCTCATTGTTAAAGTTGTAATCCTCTTTGTGAACCCTAATTGAATTTACTGTTATGCTAATACTCTGATTTCCCATCTTATTTCGTTAATAGAGGTCTGTGGTAAACCAATTAAAGGGAACGTTTCTGGATTACTCAACTTTCGGTGTACGGATAGTTCGTGGGTCTGGTATGCTCTACATGTGAAATTAAACGATACCTTCATCCTTAGTTAATACATTTTGTCAGCATTGAGATGACAACTTTTAGGTACTTTATTTCTAAAATATTATCTACTTTGTTTATATGTTACTAGTGGCTCACCCTCGCTTCGCTCGGGTTCGTCCCTAGGTACGTTTTAAATAGATATAAATAGTTATTATAAAGCGTTAAGTAAACTAAGTAATTTTTTTTTCTTGAATTTTTCCTATGTTTTAATAGCTATTCTGCTATTCGGGGCGGAGAGAAATCTAACAAATCATCAAAATCGGTCCAGCCGTTCTCGAGTTATTAGTGTCCTAACAAACCAGACTTTGTTTTATATTGTACTTATATACGAGTAGATTTAGAATGTTTGATCTGTATGTATGTATGTATGCTATATGTATTTATTATATAATTTTTATCACGTCTGATGAAAAATGGGAAATATGTACCTACACTATTCTGTAAAGATTTTTTTTGGAAAATAGCTTTACTAATTTAAATGCTATATATTACGTATATACAACTTTCATTAGTCGCTGAACAGAATTATCCGCTAGTGCATAATATATCGTTTTATTGCGCATTTCAGAGGTCTCAACATTTCGTCTGTGGACTCTAATGGTGCCTTATTGCGGTTTTATAAACGTTGTTGCGACCTGTATTACATTCCGCGAGCATCTTGTACTGTCGTATTCTGGAATATATTGCCATGAACTGTAATTTCTACGTAGGTGGCGACTGTGATCATTGTTAAGCAATGTTAAGGATATGAAATAAGTTGCTTTTGTGCCAAATCTCATATAGGATGTAAAATTATATTTTGTTTAGAATTTTATAACTGTAAATTTTGTTATATACTATTTCTTTTCTATTACCTATTAAAATTTAATGTGCATTAAAATATATATTTAAAAATCGTATAAATTTATTTGTTATACACATAGCAAACACAATTCTTAAAACCAAATTTACATATATATTCCTAAATCCAAGCTGATAGCTTCACAATTTGCTCATGCTGAAAGCGGCCAGATGTTGCCTAGAGTGCAAAATGAAACACGTTAGCGCTTCGCTTGACGTCAGTTCCCTTTTTTGTCATGCCGCCTGTGGATAGCCATTTATCAACTTTTTACAGAAATACTTGTTTTAATTTATGCTTACTAACTTCCAAGCGCTATCTCCGACCTCATTTGCAGCTCCATAGCTGTTTATGCGTGCCAGAAAAATCTGGCTAGTGCTAGTGCTACTTTGTATATTTTTATGTGAAATAAGACTGCAAAGAATTGTGGGATAGAACTTTTTTTTATTAAAGTGTTATATCTAAACTCTAATAATATTAAATGAGCAATTCTTGTATATACTTATATGAGTTTATTTCATGTATGTCGGAAACGGATTTAATGATTTGAATCAAATTTTATATTTAGATAAAGTTTTGCTTTTTAAGTTTATCTATATAGGTTTTTCTGAAAAAAAAAACGCGATTTTATATCTTTTCCAAAAAACGCCGTGTGATGGACGGTCGCTCAGGTACTATATATAAATTAGATTATATACTTATAAATAAATTAGAAGTGTCCGGCTGTGATTATTATTAATCTTTTGAGCACAATTGGTAATACGTATGTAAGGTAAAACGAGCATTAATACAATATTTATATTTAGTCTGTACCGAAAAAGGTATTGTTATTTGACGTGACATATATCCTCCGAAAAATAGTAAAAAAATAACAATTTAAACATTTACTATTTGTAAAAATAATTTACTAAATAATTATTTTAGGTAAATGATGTTAAATTATAAAAAAACATCTAATTATAAAAAATACAAAAAAATATTTTCATACGTACCATATTATGTATTATATCAACTTGTATGATAGACATTGGCTATCAACTTTGGATAATTTTGGACAAGATTTACGTGATCAAATATTAGCCTCACTGGCGATGGAACCTGCCTCCCCCTTTCGTTACTAGTATCCAGCCATCAATGAGTCAGACTGTTTTTGTTTCTTACTTCAGAATCTTTTACGTATTTTATTTTACGAGTAGAATGCACATTAGTGTAGTTTTTATGTATTTTTTTACTATCAATAAAATCTTAGATATAATTTGAAAAATTTTAGAAGTGGAAATTTAACGAACTCTATGTTACCAAAATATTCAACATCAATTAGTGAACAGTTGTAAGAGTAATTAAATAAGAATTTAATCAGTTGACAGATGAATTATGGTTTGTAAGGCGGAATGTTTTTAAATACTGCCGAAGTAATTACTTTTTATCCTCGTATATTCGTACATCTGATAAGAAATTAAAAAAATTGCTCGCAAAAATTGCTTTAATTAAAATGAGAATGTAAGCTTCCTTTACAAAATGTTATTAAGAGTCGGTATAGTACCCAAGTAGACACTTATACGTTAGTATCTATAAAGATTTAGCTCGTTTTGTTTGAAGATCTGGACCATTAATTCAGTTTTATTACCCAATCAACATATTAAATACTTTTAATATATTATGCTATTAAACTTACATATTAAAAATAAATTAATCAATTTGAGTTTGCTTCAAAACATGTGGTTAGTTGATAGGCAAAATAAAACACAGGTGTCCAACTGTCTGCTTCAGCCTTGTTGAATTCGAGAGTTTCCTGCAAAGTTGTAACTTGGGCCATGCCGCAAACTGCTTGCCAAAGGACAAATTTCGCTTATATTAACTTTTGTTCAGAGTAAATTTCACTTCAGCCATGTGGCCACTGCACTTTCAAGTGGCAAAGTTTTAATCTCGTTCACTATTCTATACCCTCCATGAAGCTTCGTATTCACTACAGACACAGTTTTCTTTAATGAAGATATGAAAGTTTACAAACTTCATAACATAATGTCTAAAGTTGTTTCGTTTCTAAACGATAGAATGGGTTATGCCTCTCGATGTAATAATATACCGATTCCAAAAATTGTTTTACTATTGTTAAGATGGGTAAATATAATAAATTAAAACTTGCCTACATATATTTTGTTATTAGTGCATTACCGTCTTGCAATTCAAAGAGATCTAATTTCGATACGCTTATGTATGCAACGTCATCCTCTGAGGCTTACTAAAAGGGAGCACTTAGCCACAACGTAATTCCGGTAAAAGGTTCGTCGGTTGCGCCGTACATTCTCTTAATGATTATTTGAGCGAAAAAGTTGGGCGATCATTAACTCGATTGGAGGTTAATGAAATGCGCTCGATTTAGAA